ATCCTAGACTGTGAAGTACACACACAGCACAGAAAAAAAGCATTGTTGTGGTTTTACAGGGGCTTATGTGCCTGACTATTTCTTGGCTGAGAGCAGTAACATCTTGGCATCACCATGAGATTTCAATGCAACCAGCGGAGCCTCCAGCAAGTAGCCAGGAAATAGTCCAGTACAGAACCTCCTATAAAACCAGAACTTATCATTTTTAAACTTAATTTTTTGTGCGAGACATAACAGGTTATATATAGATTTTATTAGCTTTGGACCGAGCCAGACTAGGGGTTACTAGAAGTGGGGGACTTGAGTCACATGACTTGACTCGAGTCAGACTTGAGTCACAAATTTGAACACTTGAGACTTGCTTGACTAAAACTCGACTTGACTTGGTTTTCATGACTTGAGACAGATGTCTTTCTCATTTTTTATTAAATACTTGCATTGTCTCATTTCAGCGTTTGAGGCATAATCCTGCACCCATGTGTGCTTTCACATAGCGATCCGGTTCTTCGGGACCAGAGGATTAGAAAATGACCATTACGTGTAATACAATACAGACATTCAAAGATTATGCTGTCGATGACCGTAGGAAGAGAAGAACAGAGATGTACAAAGTCTGCAGCTCAAAAACCAGTGACACTACCACCACAACATCATACTTCAGCCATCTTTACAGAGCCTATAAAGAAAGGTACGTTATGTGATTGTAGCTTTTCAGCTAACTTACTGGCTGGTCGAATGTTAGCTAGAAAGCCAGCGTTAAGTTTAAGCTAACGTTACACCCAGTTGCAAATTTAGTAGAAACACAGAGCTAAAACAAATGCACTCTATAACACCAGTTCTGTAATAAATCTTAGCTTCAGTAATGTTATAATATTCAGTATTGGTTTAAACTATTTTAGGGAGCTATTGCTTCAACTGTGTGCTCATTTTGTTTGACTGCAGTTTGGTGCTGTTGTAACTTTGTTAACCATACTGAAACATGTTTCTATTACTCTATTTTTCTAAACCAGGGGGTTTCAAAGTGTGAGGCGGGCCTCCCTAGGGGGGCTCCAAACAGTTTCAGGGGAGGCTCAGTGAATGGAAGTGAAACAATATAACATTACTTATTGCATTAGTCAAAAGGAGATCACATAGAATAGCCTACATGTGTGAGCATTCAGAGATACAGTAGTTTTTGGCAACTGTTTTCCCCCATCAGAGTCAGAAACTAATAAATGCTTTAGGACAGACCTTTTTTAAAACTATTTGGTGTAGTCAGAAGTTATGTCAAACAGTAATATTAGGCTATTTTGGCTCAAATGTTGAGTGTCTATGGGATCAAATAATATAATCACGTTCCCATACGCATCCAGGAATTGAGCGGAACTTACCTGGTAAACTAATGTTGTGTGATGTTGTGTGTGTGTAGTTGTGTAGAGTTCAATACAGTCAGATGAGAGAACAGAATCACTTATTACATCTTACAAAATTATCATACAGTTGAATTGCCACCTCTTTTAGACTGTTTCAACATAAACTAAATTCCTAAGAATTCAAGCAAGCATCGCAGGGGTCAATGACTTGATTTCCATCACAGTAACTTGGGACTTGCTTGAGACTTGAAGGTTAAGACTTGAGACTTGCTTGTGACTTTGACATTTGTGACTTACTCCCACCTCTGCTATTTCCCCCTGTTTCTAGTCTTTGTGCTTAGTGAACTGGCTGTAGCTTAATATTTACTGACAGTGGTAACGAACCTCTCACCTACCTCTTGGCCTTTCCCAAAAGCTCAAACTATTCCTTCAAATTCTTTCACAATGACATGCATAACCCTAACCCTTGCCTTAATCTAATTATAACATTAATATTTGAAGTGAGGCTTGATTGCTAAAATGTCTTTATTTTCCGAAAGTGTCCTCACTTTCCAGGTTTAAAACTTAAACTGATCCTCAAAGTAAGCACATACACAGAGTGGCAGCATCACCTGAACTGGTGAACAGTATTATTCACTATTTAATGAAATTCTAATAAAACCAGCAATGTGATATAACTATTGTACCCTATGATATAAAAGTGGCTTGTTTAACTACAGTTACAGTTCTTAACTAAGACAAATTACTGTTAATTATCAGATGGTTGTTACAGTCATTTACCTCAGAGAACAGAGACATGTTGGTGCCCTGAGCAGTAGAGGAGTTGGTCAGGGCAAAGGTAAGGCTGCATTGGTGGGGCCGTCCTGTCACCGACAGGCAAGACTGTGTGTAAAACAACTCCTCCCCTGAGTTAACTCTATGGGATCCTGACCACGACAGAGTCTGAGCGACACACAAACAGAAATAAAACAGCCGTTGAAGAAAAGAAATAAGCACAGTGGCATCCTCTAAATCTGAAAACTGTTGAATAAGGAGGTCATTCAAGAAATATATATGGTGTAAAATGGGAGTTCTGTGTTTTTTCAAATGCCTGCCAGATAAAAAAAGGAATAATTTAATATAAGACATAATCCTTTTCCTGAAGAACATAAATTCAGAGATTGTGCACGTTTATCACAAAACACAGTGTGGGAGAGACCCCAAAATATTAATCACAGCATGAGATAGAAAGCAGGATGTGATGCAGATGTGTGGACTCACAGGTTGAGGGGGGCAGAGGCCCAGCAGCACTGTGTGCTCCAAGCGGTCCCTGAGGTTGGTCTGAATTTTAGTCAGCAGTGTGTGTGAAGGACAGGGTGCAGGAGACACTTTGTCCAGGCCAACATTAACCTGAAGGCTGTGCATTCCACGTGGACCCTTCTAGGAACCACACAGAAACATAATGGGAGATTCTTTTTTCAAAACACCAGCCATCTGCTATCACATGAAGAGAGAATAAGTCAAAGAGATAAAAAGTTTTTCCATTCAGTATGGAGCCGAGTACCTGGTACTTCATGCCTTGGCTGATGCTCCTGTTGTCCCATCTTAGCTCTGCATGTTGTGAATATGTGTTTCCATCCTGACCCACTGACACACAACCTTTAACAGAAGACACTACCATCTACATAGACATACACACACACACACACACACACACATACAGAGATTGAGTCATGGACAATACAGACTCACCATACACAAGTACAGGTGCAGGAGGACTTTTAAACTTGATGAGGCTCCACCAACCTGTTGTGTTGAGAACAGAGCACATGCCTGCCCCCTGCTGGAGCCATTCTTCCAATGTCTGTTCAGGGTGAGGGAGACGTTGACAGGGGCTGCACTGTCCAATGACAGATGGGTCTGCATGCACAAATAAATAAACATACAATAAAACTCCCATAAAAAATCTCTTCCCAAATACATAATTAAGATATAAGAAATATATGATCTTAAGCAATGACAATTTGTCACTTTCTCTACTTAAATTACACATTACAGTATGTATAATTACCAGAATTATGAATAATGTAGTTAAACAACATTATGCACCCTGTCCATTACAGTAGACATATGTGTAACATGTTAAAAAATATGAATCCTAACAGCATTAGGTTGTGTTAAGAAGCTGTGATTTGATGATTTATGGAAGAAAGCTTTTAATGTTAGAACTTGTAAAACCTGTAAATCAATTAGAGTTACAGTTGAAAGAACATGAGCTTCAGTTCTGACAAATGTGTCAAATGACAAAAATGGTGAGATAAGGATTCGCAGGGGGGCTTGCCCCACCACCTTTAGTGGCATTGGCACCAGGGCCACCACTTCAGGGGAATGTGAGGTGCCACATTTAGACAAACTGTGCTGTCAGTAAAGGGATGTAAATATTGGAATGGCCTACCATCTGCAACAAGGGCCCTACACATCCCCAAGACCAACTCAATCAATGGCTGTGATCACTCTTAACTTGACATGTTGCGCAATATATTCTGTCCTTTTCTACTTGTGTATATTTCTATCTGAATATTGTCATTGTAATGTTCCTGTTTTTGTTACCTGCCTAGGGCTTATGGATGTGAATAAGCATTCTTGCTAAACTCCGCCATGTTTACATCTTGTATTTTCATACTGATGTTCATAAACATGCTCTGCCCCTACCAAATAAACAAGTCTAGTATTTCATTAGTGTAAAATGAACAGGTAAAGGTGTGGCAGCCTACTTGGTGGCTGCTGCGTTGTTCCCTCTCTGAGCTGTGTGACACTGTGTGAAGGGACATCTGGCTGAGCATGGAGGAGAAGGGCTGCTTCAGCTCCAATTTGGTCTCATTCACCTCCTCTGATCGACTCCACAAGCTCAGAGCTCGGACCTTGAGATGAACAAATCCGCAGTTTGTGACCACAGAAAGTGGAACAGAAATCCCAACAGACTCTTGTTTTGTTTGTCAGAGAATTTCCTCTCCATTAAAAGTCATATAGTCAAATACAACACCATGGTTTTCATTAAAATGCTCATTACACATTCACAAATGAATGTGACAGTTTCATATTCAAAGAGACAAAAAAGGATACAAAAACATTTGTTTGAATAAAGCCCTTCACATTTTCAGGGATATGACACACAATCTGACCTGCTCCAGTCGGCCATGCCTTGTCCAGCCCAGTAAAACAGTGTCAAGTCGGTGCTGTAAGGAACGCTCTAGTGTCACCTCAAAACTAGACAAACGGGGAATGCAGTTGATCTGAACTGCAGTCAAGGACAAGAAAAAAACAAATCATACTGCAGGTGGTCACTCATCAATAGCTGCATGCTGTTTTAGCCCTTACGTAGGCATCCTGTTATATGGAAAAGGACAAACACTGTCCCTGTGATGGTTGTGAACAGTTTACCCTTCAGGGTCTGGTTCCCCATCTCCAGTGCTGGAGGTGTGGAGTAGAGACCAGACAAGCTGAACTCCTGATTGCCCCACACAGCTCTATGTTGGACCTGGTAGCTCCAGTGCCTGGCCTCATACATCGTCCTCACTGCGACAGTCCTGGGGAGCGGCTTCAACTACAGAAGAAAGACAATCACTAAAACATTTGGGATGTGGGTCGAACTTGATGTTCGGGGTGTGTAAAGATATAAATAACTATTAAATATTGATGTATTAAAAAAGGTATCATTGTGTGTGATACCAGGTTTACAGTGCAGTATTGCCAATGAAAATATCCAATGTTACCATTGCCTACAAGGAAATAAAATCTAAAATGTAAATACTATATAGCATATTTATACTATATTCAGTTAAGAGATATTTTAGCACAGAAATACCTGTGGGTATGAGTGTTTGAGCTCAAGAGTCTGTCTGTATCCACTCTCTATAACTGACAGTCCCCCCAGAGCCCATAGCCTCCTCCTGCCGGATAACACCTCCACTAGACTGGCCACGCTAGACTGAGACTGGTTGAGCTGAAGAGCCAATAAAACTCATAAATTACTAGAACAAAAGCATAAAAAAGATAATCATAACAACGGTATAAGAACTGTAATTCCAGGAGGAATTAGGATTGACACTAAATCACACCTGATGCACAGATTTAGCTTCATTCTTGTTTAAATATTTTTGATATGTTTAAATAATTTGATCAGAGTGGCCTTGAGAATAAGAACCCACCTGGGAGCGGACATTGAGCTGAGAAGGCAGGTAAACCAACATCCTGGGAATATTCTGGACCACCTTCACCATCAGGTCCTTGCTGGACAAAAGAACATCTGTCACTTAAAGTGTGTGTGTGTGTGTGTGTGTGTGTGTGTGTGTGTGTGTGTGTGTGTGTGTGTGTGTGTGTGTGTGTGTGTGTGTGCAAGTGTTTGATGGACAGAAAATATGGTTTGTATTTAGTATTAGTTTAATTTCAAGTTGTGGTTATAAACAACAAGGCAGGTGTGACTGAAGTGGTTTCCATATGTGTGTGTTCAGAGTACCTATGAGGCAGATGGTGTCCCTGGATGATGAGCGCCAGCGAGGAGCTGAGTTCAGGGTTCACAGCTATGGAGCATCTCAGCTGGGACTCAGTAAGTCTTCCCCAGGCCTCCACCTGCATTAGCAGTCACAGAGATGCTTAGCATGAAGGAGAAAGGTTATGGGAATTTTGAGTGTATGTTATCCTCACCTGTAAGGCAGGGCTAGTCTGTCCCTGTATGGTGTTTTTTAGTGTGACTCTGGCCTCCTTGGACCCTCCATGTGCCCCCCAGCCTCCTATGTCCCCCATCACTTGGACTCTCCAGTCGTGACAGTGAATGTCCACTGAGGCGCTCCGCAGAGGACCTGCAGATAGGATCGGAGTGCTGAAACGTTAAAGCCAATGTACTTAAAACAGCCCCACATCATGAGAACAAAAAGTGTCTAAAGCATGTTTTGTTTTTGCAAGAGAAAACTGAGAGCTGTCTGTTTAAAAATGTAATATCCATGACATTCACTCGTGGAGGCGGCACATTAGTTCAGTGGTTAGCACTGAAGGCCGCGGGTTCAAACCCCGGTTTCCCCGGCCTTTCTGTGTGGAGTTTGCATGTTCTCCATGTCTGCGTAGGTTCTCTCTGGGTGCTCCGGCTTCCTCCCACTGTCCAAAGACTTACGGACTAGGTTAATTGGTGACCCTAAATTGTCCATAGGTGTGAGTGGTTGCTTTTCTATGTGTGGCCCTGCGATGGACTGGCAACCTATCCAGGGTGTACCCTGCCTTGTCCGCTGGGATTGGCTCCAGCCTGTACGCAGGATAAGCGGTTGACGATGGATGGATTTACTCATGGAAATTAAGCTTTAAAAACACTTTCACCGAAATGAAAAGTATTTTTAATTCAAATGGTGACATCTGCTGGTCATCCTTTGATACTGCGCTTAAATGGTAGGATTCAAGCAAAACCTCACAATGAAATAGAATGGGAAAATAAAATGTACATAGCTTGTTGCATGAAATAAACTAATTATGATTATTAATATTGGTTATGGGTTCTTTACCTTCAAAAAGTGCTGAGAAACAACCGCAGAAATGTTTAGACATCCCAAATGTTCAGGAAACAATATCAAAACGGAGCTATAGCGCACATATTAAATCCAGCTGTTAATAAAATCTGACCTTTAAACTGAGCAGTCAGGGTAGTGACATGTCTGGGCTGCGTCCCTGTTTGATTAGAAGCTGGTGGAGAGTGGGAGAGCAGCAAGGCCAGACGCCCATCAGCCACACTGACATTCAAGCCAGAGGCGAGCAGCTTGTGTCGGTCCACAGTGAGCTCAGCCCTGGACTGAAGATGAGAAAATACTCCTTGGATGGAACACAGACCCTTGGAGAAGAAAATTATGAAGTGTTTAAGTGTTTGGTAAAATAAATAGCAGTACAATAAACCAATGTTGTGCAACAAAACAAACAAAAAATGTAACACTTGTTTCTTACCTCTATATTAAGTGGAAGTCCTCTGTCCTGTAGCCATGACCAGCTGTGCCACATGGTTGCTCTTATCTCTTTTGTCATTGTGAGACATTTCATCTTAAGTCTCATTCCCGCCTGCTGACCTCCAATCTGTGACTGTAAGGTCAAGGCCTTACCCTCAGCAGAGCCAATCTCTACCTGCCCACACATTCACTGTGTTATTAATCATCTGAGAGATTGTACCCCTTCATTAACTGAGCTGTTTCAAATCAATCAACTGTCAGTTCTTGATTTGTTAAATCTATTTGAGTTTCTAACCTGGATGCTGTTGTTTGCAGGGACTCCCAGTTTCTTCAGATAGTTGACTGTGTGTCTAAAATGACTCTTCATTTTGACTGCTTCAGACATCTTTGACACTGCCATCTCTTGAGTTATCTGTAAAAAAAAACATTCATAATATCAACAGCAGTAACTGTTCTATAGAAGTTATAAACAAAACATGGACATTTTGAAAAGTTTTTCCTCTTAAGAACACAAGCACCACAGAGACAAATAGATTTATTCTTTATACTTCTATCTTATTTTTCTCTTAATGGCACAGAGTGCTAATTCTGCCTCCTACCTTTTGATTTCCTGCACTGCTGTGTAACAGGTAATAGTATGAGCCATTTCTATGACTCCCAGAATTCATTGTTACTGCAGCATTAGCAGGAAGACCCAGCTTCTTCAACAAAGGCACAGAGTGGTTTAGACTAAGCATTGCTTCATTTTTATCCTGAAAAAACAACAGCACTGAATTATCATACATGGCGTCACATCCATAGACAAATTAAGGCTCATCATCAGTGTAACAAATGTAAAATCAACAAATGTTTTCATGTATTTCCACACCGTAGTTTTCTTAAGAGCAACTGACGCCTGTAACTCGGTATCATCTATTGCAATGGAGACCCGGGATTCGGCAAGAGTTGGGGACACAACCAACAATCCGGAGGACTGCATTCTGTCTGGACTCCCCCACTCCTACAAACATGATTAGAAAGTGACATAGTGAATTTATTAGAGATTTCATGAATCATGAATTAAATAATGAATTATCAGTGGCACATCTACTCTACCTGAATCACTGTGCAGTTATTGTGATACACCAGCGTGCCCTGCAGGCCTGGCTGTGACATCACAAATCCGCTGGCTCTGACAGTACACTCCTCCATCTGAACGAGGGCTTCGGTGTCATATTGATGTTTTCCGGCCCTACCGGTTACTCTCAGTCTGCTGTGCTGCGGTACATTTTTGAAGGCAGGAAGGTTGTGAGTGAGGTCACCCTCCACATTCAGATCTGGCCAGGCCCTTGCATTGAGCCACAAGAAACCCCGATTGCCCTCCAGACTGACGTCCACCGTGGCTGTCCAGATACCCTGAGGGTCCCACCACACTGAACCATTCAAATTAGCCTAGAGTGGACAGAAAGTCATTATTTTGACTGGTAGTGGTAGCATATAAAACAAAAAAACACATCTTCTTCCACAAACACTGAACAGCTGAAATGTTTCAGTTGATTTTTAAAAAGGAATACTGATAAGAATGAATATCAGAATGTAATATTTGAGATGGGTGAGATACTCTAAATCAGGGGGATGGTTATTTTATATATGGTTTTGGGTGATCCACAAACTGAACATAGATGTATTTTTGACTTTAGATACACACACAAAAAACACAGGCATAGTCCACACATGACCTACACCTAATGCAGATGACATGTGATACCACCCAATGCACGCAGGAGAAGGCAACAAACAGCTGCAATATTACATAGTATTGACCTGCAATGCTTCTACAAGAGCAATATATTTGATGTTGTTGTTATTCTAGTATAAGTATGCTAAAATAATACATCAAAAGCAGAGTACAACCATTCAATGTGCAAACTACAACTGGCAGAAATGCATGTTGGTATCAGAACTGCACCTCATATATGTCTGTTATAAAGTGTGACAGCAGATGAGATAAAATAGTTCCTGGCTGGTACCGAAGACTAAGTGGGGCTCTTTGCTCTTTGTTCGCTACTGTCGACAGGCTAACCACCTCCCGTGTCTGTAGGATCTGACCTTCTATCTACCAGGGCCTGCAATGAATTTGCCTCCTTCTTCACAGACACGATTCAAACAATTAGACAAGCAATCAGTGCCTCCATATCAGGCACAGGATATGTCTTGTTCCTGTGTCCATTTAAAAATAATTCATATAGCATGAGACAATTTGATTCTATCAACCATAAAAACATAATACAACATCTGAAATCCTTTTCATGTTGCCTTGATATTCTGCCAAAAGGTTTTTTCAAAAATGTGTCTAAATGCATGGCCTCAGATCTACTACAAATTGTCAACATGTCTCTCCTCTCAGGTTTTTTCCCACAGGCCCTGAAAACTGCAGTCATTAAGCCACTCTTAAAAAAGAGCAATCTAGACAGGTCACTAATGAGCAATTATAGGCCCATATCAAATCTCCTGTTTTTAAGAAAAATCATTGAAAAGGCTGTTTTTCAACAGCTCAGTGCTTTCTTGGCATTAAATAACTGTTTTGATGTCTTCCAATCAGGATTTCGACCACACCACAGCACTGAGATGGCTCTTGTTAAGGTCTTCAATGACATCCATTTAAACACTGACAGTGGCAGAATTTCAGTCTTAGTATTATTGGATCCTAGTGCTGCATTCGACACGGTCGACCACAACATATTACTAGACAGACTTGAAAACTGGGTTGGACTTTCTGGCACAGTACTAAACTGGTTTGAATCCTACTGAAAGGACAGGGACTACTTTGTGTCTATAGGTAATTACACATCTGAGCTGACAAAAATGACATGTGGAGTTCCCCAAGGCTCCATTCTGGGGCATCTTTTGTTTAACATTTACATGCCTCCACTGGCTCAGATTATGAAAAACAACAAAATATGTTACCATAATTATGCAGCTGACACACAGATTTACATAACCATATCTCCAGGGGACTATGATCCCATACAAGTGCTGAGTAACTGTATTGAGCAGGTCAACTGTTGGATGTGCCAGAAGTTTCTTCAATTAAACAAACATAAAACTGAAGTTATTGTTTTTGGAGCCAGGGAGGAACGATTGAAAGTCAGTGCTCGACTTCAATCTGTAATGTTAAGAACCACAAATCAAGCCAGAAATCTTGGTGTAGTCATGATCTCAGACCTGAATTTGAGGAGCCACATTAAGACAATTACAAAGTCAGCCTACTATCACCTGAAGAATATATCAAGGATTAAAGGACTTATGTCTCAACAAGACCTGGAAAAACTTATCCATGTATTTATCTTCAGCCGACTCGACTACTGAAAATCTAATGGACCTTTTCATTTGGATTTCTTCTTACGGGTAAATCACTTAGTTCAATTGAAGGTCCCAGTACGTGGTCTTAATAATGTTAACAATTAAACCTGTGGTTTTCCTGACACGTCTAAATGTCTGCAAGGAAAAAGGTCTATTGTAGCGCCTTCCTTAGGCAATCAATAATGTTTGGTCATGGACATACCGGCAGATACACAGTTCAATGCAAATTCTAATTATGTCAAAAATTTACTAATCATCCAAAGAAACCTACAGTACCTGTAACACTGGGCACTTTGACTCCAGAGCCCAGAGCCATTGTGTCCTTCCTTTGGGCCCTGTGACTCTATTGGCTCTAATGGAACATGTCCCAGCTTTAATTAACAAGGCCCCAGCCTGCTCAGGGCCTCTAGGAGCAGTGGCCTCTATGGTGATCATCTGGGGCACGCCTTGGGTCCTCAGCTCAAGGATGGAGTGTGTCAGGGTCCCAGAGATATGTAGAGGCCTGCAGGACTGACTCAGCTCTACGGAGAGGTCCTGGTTATCTGCCCTCAGAGAGGAGGTCATAGTAAAGTGGCAGGGGACGACTGACAGAAGGCCCTGAACAGCCACGGACACTGGGAGGACTGTTCCCTGTGGCACAGACATACATGGAGCATGTTAATCAGATGGCCTATTTGTAATAAAAAAATTCACACCATAGATTTCCGAATGTTTATGCTTCCAACTGGTGGAAGGAAAGTTTACTCCGTGTCTCTCTCCATAGTGGCAGCAAGTCAAATGGGGGCTGATGAGAATCTAGTCTAGCAGCTGTATCATCTTTTGTGTTGTTCTGCTCAGCTGCTATGATAAATGAGCTGTAGCTTGAACTTGTAATGGGCTGGAAACTGTATTTCAAAGGAGCCTTTGTTAACATGGACAGGGGTGAATCATGTAGGAAATCCCAGTTCTTCTAACCAAACAAAGAAATGACAACCTAGAGGTAACCGTAATATTTAGAACTTAAACATATTAGTTTATCCAAGTTTCTACTCACACTACAACACAGAACTGATTGATGTTCTTACCTGTAGAGCAGGACAGTAGTTTGTCACATTTAAAGCGTAGGAAGACTGTTCTTTTTCTGCCTGTGAAGCCTTGGTTTTCCCCAAATTACTCCTGAAATAGCAACGCCCCATCTCCAGGCCAAACTCCACACCAGGCAGATGTGCAGTTAAAACATTCAGGATTAATGCCCCATGGGTAGGAAATCCAAGCATCTCTATTGCATCTACAGAGTGTTGTACAGATGCTTTCAGGCTAAGGTGGGGGTGACAAGTTAAGTGCAGACCAAGGCTGCCTTTCTGTACCCCCTCAACCTGGAGAACGGTACTGAGATTTGAGGAGCAGCCAGAGTGAGTGATGGAGATGTTGGCTGAAGTATGTGAAGGCATGAGAGTCTATAGAGGAAAAATTAAAAAAGAAAGGTTAGAGCTGGGACTATTCTTCACTCCTTCCAAACAAATTAGATACAAGAACTCACTATATAAACTTGTGTTCTCAAAAAACAAGCTGACACATGATAAGTGCTGCAGGAATATCACATATTAACATTAATTAATAATCAATATATCTATCCAAAAGAAATAAACTGAAATACACTAAGATGGGCCTGGCAGACTAAAAAGCAGATTTATCTATCTATCTATCTTGCTTTATGGAATCAAGGTAATTTGCTCTACAGCACAACACATGTGGACAGTTAATACAATTATGGAATAAGGATATCAAAAATAGAAAAATAAAAATAGAAGAATAATTTGACAGGAAGCAACTTGGTCTATAGAAATCTCGCCTAACTCTTAGTCTAGTCTACAGACATTTTAGAGGCTCTGTGAGGCAATACATAAAAGCTAAAGACAACATGCTCACAGTGACACTGCTAACATTACTATTCTCTCCATCTTTGTTTAGTGTGTTAGCATGCTAACATTAGGTAATTAGCACAAAGTACAATTGAAGCTGATGACAATGTCATTAATTCAGAATTAGATATCATCATAAACCAAAGTCGTGGACCATTTGAAATTTTGACGTGATGAAAGTGCAAGATGAAAAGTTCAGCGCTCACAAATATATTCTAAATTAGGAGGGTAACGTTCATTTAAACCATGGTCTTGTTGATACTTTTCATGCAGTATTGTTGTCATCAATGCAACTTGTATTGTAATGGAAAGACAAGAGTCATCTCCAAGGTGAAGATGTTTCTTTTGCTTTCCTTCTGCTGGAAAACAAGTTTCCTGAAACATTTTCTTGTTTCCTCTCTAACCTTCAGAAAGACACATTGCTGATGGACAAGAAAATTCCAGCTAGTCCTCCTGTCCTCTCCTCCCCTGTGTTGATTTGCCAGGAGAAGCATGGAGCACACATCACTTTCCACCTCCAATTCAGCTTGACTAGTCGAGGTCGACATGCTAACAGTGAGCTCCCCTGGTACACCAGTAATGGCTGTGTTTTGCTGAATCGTGACTCTCAAGGAGGTGGAAGGCTCCTGGGTAGCAGCCATGTTGATCTGAGCAGTGCAGGTGTTGAAAGAGACTCGAACACTTCCAGAAAGGGAGGTATCACTGAGCTGACCTGACCCTTGGAGTTCTACTCTGTTTGGGATGATGGGGGCAAGAGAGGCCCAGTGATGCTGGATGGTCCAGCCAATGTCAGCCTTTTGGTCCTTTAGCAGTACAGACAGGAGGCACTGAAAGGAGTCATGCTCATTTTCTAAACCCACAAAACCTCTGAGTCCATATTTCCCTGCTTTCCCATGTACGGTTAACAAGGTTTTATGTGGTACATCCCCCTCAACTCTCTTAACCTTCACCCACACCAGCCTCCCCACCCCTTTACACCGGACAGACACCAACAGACTTGAGGTGATGGAGTCCCATGCCACACTGACATCGGCCCAGATGTGACACCAGCTTTCCACCCTCATCCGACCCGTCAGCTCTGCCTGGCGTATAACACTGCCGGTCCCAAACTCAAGCAGCCCGTGCCAGCCATATAGCCCAGGCCTCTCCAACCTCAGTCCCACATTCAAATCCATTTTCCAAGGGCCAACATACAACCCTATCCCCAGTGCCCACCTCTGAGGCCCAGGCCGGAGCAAGAGCCTGAAACTAGATTTTGTGGGCACACCCAGATAAGTCAGCAGTAGCATAGAGGAATGAGTGAGGTTAGCTCGGAGCTCCTTCTGGCCATTAGAACTGTAGCAGCCTTTAGCTTGAGCACTGAGGATAAAATGTGCGAGTGAAAGGCCATAGCTGAGCCTGCTGTGTGGTCTATAGGAGTGAAAGACTCGTACCTCCACAGGGTGACCTGCCACATTTCCATAGCACTGGGCTGAGAGCCGGTCTGCAGTGGCGTCCCCTGTGCAGTTCATCTGTGAAAACAAAAACCCCCTGTTGGCAAAGTTTGTTTTTCAAAGAAGAAACTGAAGGAGGAGATGGAAGAAGTTCTGAGCAATTACTGTACTTTAAGCAGCCACATAAAAGTTAGCGTTACACCAACATGATAATCTGAGCCTTAATTATGAAACAACACATATAATGTTGAAACTGTTAGGTGCTTCATTAATAATATTAATAAATCAGACATTGGGGTGCATGGATCTACTTAACATGCCTTACTCCCACGCATGCACCAGTGGCCACTGGCCAGTGCCTAATTTGCATAATAAAGCAGAAATACATAAAGAAAGGTAGAAATAAATAAATATGTTTGGAAAAATAAAAAGGAGGGGAAACACATACATAAATCCACGAATAAAATAAATTTACAAATTAATAAATAAAATGGCAAATTACATGAGAAAGTAAGTAATAGTAGTGTATTGTAGGTTAATACAAAGGTAAATAAATACAGAAGCAAACTGGAACACAAATATCAATTTATTTCACATAGTTTAACATTTTGGGAAATAAGCTTATTCTCAAACCTTGAGTTAGATGAGAAGATTTATACCATCCTGATGTCTGTATGGTAAATAAAGCCGGCAGCTAGTTAGCTTAACTTAGCTTAGCATAAAGACTGGAAACAAGCGGAAACAATAAGCCTGGCTCTGTCCAAACATAACAAAATACAAACACATGTAAAGCTTACTAATTAGCCTAATTTTCCAGATGTCAAACTATTCCTTTCCTACATGAAAGATACAAATATTGTTGTTTCAATGTGGAGATGGAAAAGGTAAGTGCGGTGCAAACTGTGTAAACTGTACCTGTAAAGAAGTGGGTATGAGTCCCTGGAGCAGCGTTAACTGTTGCCATAGAGACACTACCAATATAGCTGTGCTGTTTCTTGAGCCAATATCAAAAATGATGTCAATCATTCTCTGGTCTTCCATGTGAAGGACCAAGCCTGTGTCCAGCCTTTCGGTTTCTAGCTAACAGAGGAAAGAAAAACATCAAAATACAGAAAAGCAGGCATGTGCTGATATTATGAGAAAGGTAACACATTGATGTATTTTAAGTCCTTAATATATATGAACTTGCTAGGGATAGAATAAATAGATCATAGTTCTGCACCTGGTAATGTGCTTTGGCTTGTACAGAGCTTAATATGCCTCTTTTCAGCAGGGCTTTGACTTGATGCTGTAGCCTGCAGAAATACTCCCATCGTGGAATAACCTGGTCAGTCTTGCCTCCACTAAACTCAGCTTTTAGATGTTCAGGTCCAGCCTGCAGCTCTGCCAGGACTGACAGTCGACTGCCATCCTGGGCCCACCTCACCTGGGCACTACTGCTGGCAGGTACACCTGAATCCAGAAGACAAAGAGACTTAGAAACCAGGAGATATTATAATGTGAAAAACATATAATGTGTTAGGTATAAAGTAATAATTACCTGTGGCATTGAGCAGATGGAAGGAGTTAGAGAGCCGGGTGTAGACCTCACCTGTACCCCGATCCCCCAGTCGACGGCTTACATTCACACACAAATGCTCTGCCCCCAACGAAACACATACCCAATCACGGGCCACGTGAAATTTCTTCCCCATCGTGGTCTCTTCATCTTCTCTGTCCAAAGAATCTCCAGGGGCCTTTTGATGTCTCAGCTCCACACTGTACAAGATCTCCATCACTCTAACTCTCAGCTGTCCTACAATATTATATTATATATTGTATTATATTAATGATTGTCAGGTAAAGACCGCTGAATGTCCAAACTAAATGCCACCATATAATATTAAATTACAATAATTAGTATTTTCAAATTAACCTCTACCTTCAATGAGGGTGTCAGACTGTCCCAGTACACCATCCAAACCCAGGACTGGAGGCAAAATAGCAAGATTGGCAACGGAGTGCCTCAGGTCCCCGGACACAGCCAGCTGGAGACCCTGGTTTTTTTTTAGAGACCCTTTAACCTGGGCCAGCAGAGCCTCATGTCCCTGTGTATAGGAGCCATGTAGAGACACACTGGAGGAGACAGGAGGAACACAGTATGTAAGTAGTAAATCCATAAAGAAACAGTAAACATCGTTTATTAGATATATGATTATCAGTGCATATCTGATAAAGACAAAATTATAAACTTCCTCAGCCATATATGTGTTAAAATACAGGTGGATGTACACACCTGTCTGAGGACATGTTGGCGGCCATGTTTACATCCAGGTCATTGGCAGAATGCAGCAGGCTCTGTGATAAGTTCACCCTCAGTGCCACGGCTCTGTCCCCTCTCTGGAGGGAGTGGGACATCTGGGCATCCAGCTTCACTCTGTCCTTACCATCAGCCCTCACATGTACTGAGCTACTTCCTCTACCAGCCACTATAGAAATGTCTGCAGTGGCCTTCACCTTAACATGAAAAACAATAAAACGATAAGATAGCTTAGATGCTAGAATACTTTATAATGTGCAACATGTCCCATTATTTGAATTTGTTTAAAGAACTTTTTATTTTAGGACCACTGAATGACATCATCTGACGAAACACAGAAGTCGCCAACCTCTAATTTTTTTGGGATCTTTGATTTAAAGGGATGACCGAGAGAAGAATAAAGACCAACTATGTCAGACGTTCCATTGAGCTGCACAGAAAACTAAAAAGAAAAAAAAAAAATACATTGGAACCACAAATTCACAAAACAATGCTGCTGATTATTCAAGCAATATTTAAAATGCTGAGTTGGTTTTACTCACTTGGCACTCGTGTCGCTCTACTCTCAGTTTCCCTCTGGCCTGATAATCAAAGTCAGTGTTGTTTTTGGGGTTCCAACATACATTTCCCTCCATTAAAGCAGAGGAGGGCAGCTGCAGCTGTAACAGCAATAACAGTGAACTGGTCACACGTTTGGCCTTTTCTACTGTAAACTATACTGCACACTGTTGGTGGCATGCATCACAGCAAATCAGCAAGACGTGTGGAAATATACAACCAGTTGGTAATCGTTTTACAGTGGCCCGTTCACCTGGAGCTGATGGGTGAAGTTGGCTCTAACTTTCAACGTTTTGTGACGTAAGTGCAAAGGGTTCAACTGAACTTGTCCGAAGAAAGTCAGCCTCTCCTTTGTTCCAACACGCAACCTCCCTTGTATACCTTTCTGGGTCTGAAAAGGAGTGTGCCACATATAAAACATGTTTCCAATTTTTTCTCAAAATTTTCCAAGTTAGATCATACTGCTTTGACGTCAACATCAATCAGTATTTCACTGAAGTTAGGTCACATTCAAACCCAACACACCATTTTTGAGGACTTTACATTCATTCATTACATTCTCACGGAACTCGTGTTTTGTGTATGATTTTATACACATTTTGCTGTAATTCAGTTTGTAATATATATGTTTAATATCTTAAGAAACACAGACATAAACTAAAATTTAGCTGAAAATATGCAATGACAGACCCATTGATCTATGGAGCAATAAAAAGGGTGGGAAAAATGTGGGATTCGTTTTCATTAACTTTTGGCTTCAGTTGTTCAGTTGTCTCTTTTAAATCAGCAATTGAGACTTGAAGGCTGGCAGTTTACCTGGTTGCTGGTTATGGTCACACAGATTTCTGAGTCTGAGGGAACAGTGTCAGAGCTGAAAGGATGAATCAGTGCAGAACAAACCTAAATATGAGGACAGCAACAAAAAACAGAAATTCCTGAATACAGTACTTACGTACTCCCTCACTTTCTGTAGTATTATTAATAAATGAACTAGGGCTGAACTTACAAATGGGCTCGGTGGTTGGTAGCCGAGGGTGAGGGTGTGGATGACCTCTCTGTTGTCATGGAAACTGACTTTTGACTCCATGAAATAAAGGCCTTTGAGAAGGTCGATGGTGAAAGTCTCCCGCAGGAGAAGAGTCTGAGGAAAGCTCTGGAACGGCTGTCTGTGCAATATGGTGTTGCTATTAAAGTTAGCAATGTTCTTGCTTCCATTTATTTTTGTAATAAAAATCATAACCAACCTAAAATACATCAACAGGTTGTTTACAGGTCAGTCAGATTGAGGCACAGACCTGAGCTGGAGCATTGCTGTTTTCTGATACATCCTCTTGTCCCTCCTCAGCTCCTCTATAACCCCCTCGAACTCCAGTTCTGTGGATGGACTCTTCGGCTTTGAGAAGGTCATCGTCAGTATCACTTGCCTCTTTTTCAACTCCTTAAAGAAGTTAGTGTATAGTCCAAGATTGTTAGAACATCAGAAATCAGACAAACTACACAAAACGGCAATTTAATTCTATAATGTGTTATAGATAGATATGTTATAGATATGTTAATGTCTTAACTCCCATAGAGTGTGGGAACCCACCTTATCCACAGCGTTCAGAGCAGCTGCAAGGCTGACATTGTGCTTGCCATAGGTAAAGGCCATCTGCAGGGTGTGGCTGAATTTAGAGGCCTCCAGAGAGACGTCTCCACTCAAGGGTGGAGTCCACAATGAGCTCAAAGAGGAGGAAGCCTTCACACTTCGCTTCCCCACCATGCCACACCCTTCTGCCTGAGCAGAGACGGAGGAGTTAGAGGGGCAGAAGGCATGCGCATATAAAAATGTTGTAGCACAATTTAGTTCAAACTATCAGAAAATATGATAATTATTTGATTCTAATATTAAATTTAAACATCTGGTACTTTCAATGTACAAATACAAAGACACTTTGGATGTTCAGATGAGTAGCCTCCTTACTTGGATGTAGGTGACAGCTGGTGTGTAGAGTTTCAGACGAGCCTCCTTCTCTCTGCCCCTATCCTTGTACAAACCCTCCAGGAGGAGGTTACGGATGGTCAGCCACTTGCTGGCTGTCAGCTCTGAGGTGAGCTGGAGCGTGTGGCGCTGGTGCTGGCTTAATTTGTGGGCAGTGTAGATGTACAGCCACGGTGTGTCCATGTTAAATGTTCCTGGATGAGGAGAAGCGATAGACACGATGCTGACCAGTGCCTCACTGCAGGTATAAACTCCAATAATATCTTCATTAAGTTAAACATAATTTATATCAAAATGTTTAATGGGTTTTAAAACTTGTTTCACCTTCCCATTTTTTCAGCAGGGCGTCTTTGGGAGGGCTTTTCCATTGTAATCCAGCCACCAGTGGCATCACGTTGTTGTAGTTGATTTTGAGGTGAGTGCTGCTCTCTGACCCGAGCTGTCTCAGGTGAGAGTGCAGAAGCTGAGTCCTGTAGTTTAAATTCTTCTCTGGCACCTGGAGACTGAACTGGAATAACATGAGAGGGAATCTTTTATTTTGGACAAATAAAAAATGCATTTAATGCTTAAAAGTGTAAATACAAGGCTTATCTCACAGCAGGTAATGCATTCATCAGTCCACGTGTGTTGGTTTGGGACAAAAAGCTTCTTCAATCTAATAGAATAACAGGCGAAATTAGAGCCAGAGAGGACAGACCATCACAGATAGATGGCTATTTACCTCCACTGTGTAGCTGGTATGGTTTTGTGTAGATTGGTTTTTGAAGGACTGGCTCAGAAGAAGCGTGCGTTTGTTGTTGATCTCATCCCAGTGTTTGCCGTAGCTAATGTCCAGGGCTGATTTAATGTGGCTGTGGCTTTCCTCGTGCCTGAGGTGGATCTGCGGACACACCGAAAAGAAATACCACAGAGCTCTTAATCAGATGAAGAACCTCTGTTGTTTAGTTACATTTTCACCCAAAAGCTGAAAATCCGCAGCAGAGGTATGCATGGAAGATGGAAAAATATCTGAAATCAAGAAGTATCACATTCAAACTCATTAATCATGTCCATTTACCTTGTGGTTGATGGGAGCGGTGTTGGAGCAGTAGAATTCATGATCTGCTCTCATGATGTATGTGAGGTTTGAGTGCCTCTCACTCCTTAGTCTCTGAGACGTGTGGCACTCCTGACGCAGGTGCCGGGCATCACCTGTGTAGGTGTCAAAGGTTTAATGGCAATCAACATGCTGAAATCCATGTAATGTGACTCCAGTAAACTACTTTGTGTTTTGTACCAAAGAACATAAAAGGAACAAGACAGGCCAAAAATTGAATGTTGGTGGGTCCAGCTTTCTGTGGATAGAAGATTTGGAGACTGTATTGTCCTCATTTTGAGTTGTCACTTCCTGTGGGTACAGTGAGCTACTGAAAATCTCTTGACCTCTACAAATGACACTGAAACAATCTAGATGAAGTAAGTTAGTTTGTGTTTTAACTAAACTGCTCCTTTACTTTGTTAACATTTCCTCTTAATGGGCAGCAACTTATAAGGTCATGTGGCATCCAGCTTTATGATGTATGTTTTTCAGTCACTCACCTCCCAGACCACATTTGAGCCTGAGCGCGGAGCTCCACAGTGAGCCCTTCTGCTCCATCAGTCCCAGCATTCTGGTGCCAACCACACCGGGTAACAGGAGCTCCGCCTCCACAGAGTACTGCCTGCTGCTGCCATCCCGCCTGCGCTCTAGGGCCACTGGTGTGGGTAATGATGAATACAGCAAAATGTAAATGTTGAATATAAAACCAGTAGAGATAATAAATGCCTTTATTTGGTCATGTCAGTTGGATACCTGACAGCGATGCAGTTTCTCTGAACACATTCTTCACAGTGGCAGAGAAGCTGGTCTTCCTCCCCAGTCCACGAGTAACATTAGCAGAGAGGATCATGGGCTGTCTATCAGTAGCCATTTTGGCTTCAAGGTGATAGCGTGTTCTCTGCTCTGACAGGAGGGTCTGAGTGTCGACCAAACCCTACGCATGATAAATGAATTCTTATATAGCCTACATTAAATCTATCTAACAGAAAAATCACAGAAAATCTCATTACATACCGTGATATAATAATTAACATCATCAATCAAAAGCTCCAGCTTTCCTGACTTCATATTCCTCTCTTGTTCAAGTTGCCCTGAGGAAACAACACATTTTTAACATTAAATCCGAACAGAAGTCAGGGATTTTGTTGTCTGTGACCAACCTTGTATGTGGATAGTTTTCAGAGGATGGCTGAGCCTAAGCAGCAGTCTATGAGGGTTGAAGGTCAGGTCCAGAGACATGTCCCTGCGGATGGAAGACTGAGGTGTGGCCAGGAGGAGGTGGATGGAGGCCTCTCTGGGCAGCCATGTGTCTCTCTGAAACATAATTAGGGACAATACTGGACATTAGCCATTGTGAGACTGGATAAATAAATCTCACGCACAAGTCTACAATCCTACTCTTTAAAGCCCTTGAGGGCCATTTATACCATATTATATGTAGATCTAACACAGGGAAATCTTTGCACCTGAGGGAGCAGTGAGTAGGCAGCCTCCAGCAGGTAGTAGTGGAGGCCTCTGTCCAGCTTCAGCAGCCTGAGGGAGAGGTGGACTGGTCCTGGAGGGGGAAGTGAAATAATACCTGTGGCAGGTAATGGGTAAGAGGCATTGGAGCACAGCTGCCAGCCGACCATCTTGGACCCTGTGAGAAAGCACAGATCAGTGTTTGGTAATGGTCACAGAATAAAACAGAATCAAATGGACTTTCAAAATCCAGCCATTACACTTAAACAAACATACACACACATTTACAAGGTACAATGAAAACATGGTGGCCAAATATATATATAAAAAAGCTCTACACAAGCTGTAAAAAGGAAATGTGCTGTGATATTTTTAAAAAGTCAATAGTCACTCTGAATCTGTTACAAACTGTCCAACTGCTTCTGTGTGCCATCGTGTATGACTCCAGGACTTACATGTCTTTGGTGTGCAGGTGGCTCTCTGGACTCGAATCTTTGGCCCCTTTATCTCCTCTCTGTGGTCTCCACTGTGATGAAACACTCTGGAGCTGGTGAGCACATAAATGGCAGTTATTGAAAACACCTTTCAAAACTGCAACATTATGAGCACTAATGTTTTGTTTCGTTTCAATTCAAGTACTTTATTGTCATTCCAAGATACACAGTTGTATACATACAGCATACGCAAACATAGTGAAGACCTTTTAATACTGCACATGATAACAAACACAGTACATGCTGTGTTTATATTTACATAATTTTACATAATTTCTGTATGGGAATGCAGTGGATAAGTCTATATTGTAGTTAAGAGGTTGTAGTAATACATTTACTATGCACTTCTGTCTGTGCTTATGTACCCTTGTATGTTTTCTTTTAACGTTTTTATATGACATCAACCTACCAGCCACTGCAAATGAAAATGAGCACATTTACATGATGGACCCAAGTGCTCGTGTTAATTAATGTGCATTGTGCATTATTAAATACAACCCTGTTTCCAAAAAGTTGGCACGCTGTGTAAAATTTAATAAAACAAAATGTGATGATGTGCAAAATATTGAAACCCTATAACTAACTGAAAATAGTATAAAGACAACTTATCAAATGTTGAAACTGAAAATGTTATTGTTTTTTGGAAAATGAAAAGGCCATTTTGAATTTATGCCAGCATATTTCAAAAACGTTGGGACAGGTTCATGTTCGTAAGATGTTCCACCAGGTGTTTTCTTTTAGTATTTCACAACTTTTCAAGTCTTTTGTTGCCACTGATGTGTTGCTGGCATCAAATTCAAAATAAGCCTATATTTTTTTACATTTTACACAGCATGTCATCTTTTTTGAAAACGGAGATGTAAAATAAACATGAAAAACATAACCATTTTAACCTTCTCTTAATCCTTTCAATAAGTAGAGGATTTGACTAAATTTAAATGAAATAAAGTATATTTCTAAACATACATATTCGCCAATACAGAGGATTTATATAGATATAGATATAGATATGTTTTGAGATGGTGTCATTCATTTAAATGCCACACTTACCTGAGAGAGATAATATCCATTACGTCCTCTGGTGTGTTAAGTGTGACCCTGATATCTCGCCCCTCCTGCAGCTGAACACTGCCATCCAGACTGGTGGAGCTCCTCAGCTCAGAGACCCAGTTCACTGCAGCCTGACCCAAAGCACTATCAATCCCCATCCTGGCAGACAGCCCCACGTAGGCACTGAGAATAAAGGTACCAGTTACACTCTATTCTGCTTACACTCTAAAGTTAAAGTTGCAGCCCCTGTAACATGTGGAAACATGGAAGTACCTGGGTTTGATGTATCCAGTCAGGGAGAAGTGAGAAGTGTCCCTGTAGTTTACGTTGCCCTTCAAGCGTAATGAAAGGAGGGAGGTCATGTTGATGCCCAGTTTGACAGGCAAACCAGACAGAGATGGTAAAACAAGCTCCTCTGTCATCAGCACGGCCCTGTGGTTCAGCTGGACCTCATGACCCTGGAGGATGAAGAGGAAGGAGAAAACAGGAGTGTGTATGAAAATGAGACAAACAGACTGAAAACACACAGCCAGTTAAAGTTAGTGACCATGAGAATGATCTTCTTCCATTATACCTTGAGCAGTTTGACACCCAGTCCTGCCACGCTCAGCGACAGCTGGTTAATTTGATTGTAGAGATCTTCACATGTAAACACACTGAGCTCATTGCCAAACACCTTCACACCAACCCAACACTTGGGCCTGTTCTCCTCTATGCTTCTCCTTCCAAACAACTGGAGAAGACAAAGCAGAAACATGTGATGAAGACTGATTATACCTTCCCTCAATGAAAAACTTAAATTTTTTGAACAGAAAACTTAAGCTATAAAAAAATGTGTCTGCAATGTAAACCCTTTTTACTGTATAAAAAAGTAATGATGAATAATGAAGACAGTGTCATGTAATGAAGAGTCATAATATTTTTTAGATTTATATAAATGTGGTCCTACATATATCTGTCATTCGAAAGTATAAAACTCCAAAGCATAATACAAATTCTCCCACATTAACCCATTCACAACATTTCCAGGGCGGTAAAAGTTTGAAAAAAGTTTTACTCTTCTCTAAATTTTAAAAATCTTCTCTGTATTGTAAATCTTGTATTTTATCTTAGCAGCTGTTGGTTTTGTTACTTGTATTGTCAGCGAACTCTGTCTTTTTCTTTGCTGAAACGATCAGTTTCAATAATCAAGTATGTAGAAAGAAATTAATTTTGAACAGAAAACTTAAGCTATAAAAAAATGTGTCTGCAATGTAAACCCTTTTTACTGTATAAAAAAGTAATGATGAATAATGAAGACAGTGTCATGTAATGAAGAGTCATAATATTTTTTAGATTTATATAAATGTGGTCCTACATATATCTGTCATTCGAAAGTATAAAACTCCAAAGCATAATACAAATTCTCCCACATTAACCCATTCACAACATTTCCAGGGCGGTAAAAGTTTGAAAAAAGTTTTACTCTTCTCTAAATTTTAAAAATCTTCTCTGTATTGTAAATCTTGTATTTTATCTTAGCAGCTGTCGGTTTTGTTACTTGTATTGTCAGCGAACTCTGTCTTTTTCTTTGCTGAAACGATCAGTTTCAATAATCAAGTATGTAGAAAGAAATTAATTGTCATCTATCTTGCTAATTGATTAATTGATCATTTTCAAAATGCCAAACCTTTGATGATTCCGGCTTCTCAAATGTGAGAATAAGCTGCTTTTCCTTATTTTTCAATAATAAATAATGAAAATAATTTTTAGTGCAGCCCTAATCTAGGCATTTATAGCAGTATTTTACAAATGCACTGACTATAACTTAGTCAAGATAACAGTATTTACTAAAATTTTCTAAAATCCTAAATCCAATGTAAATGGTTACTAGTCCACAGAAAAATCCTCCCCACTTGTCATACAACAATACTGTTTTTTTTGTCAGGTCTAACTACGCCCAGTAGAGATGACCTTACCATGGCCCTGGCCTGGTCCAGATAACTATTGGTGCTGGATAAACACCTTTCTTTTTCTCCTCTATGTCCATCATCTGTTTTTCTTCTAGTCCTCCTCGCCTCTTTGGACTGCGTATGTTTTTGGCCTTGAGTCACAGACTCTCCGTCAGAGTCGTGGGTATGGTGACCGAAAATGTTCTTCAAAAGTGGTTCAGCATCTTCAACGTGAAGGTCCACCTTAGTCAGATAAATAAATGCATGCATTCAACATAATGTTGGAAGACTATACTTTTATGAATAAAAATCAAATAGGTGTCAAACTCACATCCAGAAGGTTGTGGGCTCTACCATGAAAATACACTGTCAGGTTGGCAGTGGCAGATCTCGGCAGAAATGATTTGGGAGAGAAAACTAAAGCTGTTTCCACATTTGTAATTCCCATGCCTGAAACAAAAAAAGCAGAAGCAAAGCTGTGGGCTGCTCACACTTTACTTAAGTTAAAGTACTAATACCTCACTGTAAAGATACTCTGTTACAAGTAAAAGTACTCAAAGCAGAAAGAAAAATGTCCTGTGACTGTTATACTATTATATATTATATTGTTACATTAGTATTAATCATGCATTCATGTAAAAGCAGGATTGTATTGTTGTAGCTGGTTGTGGTTGAACTATTATGGATCACACTGCAAATAATAAATTTTTCATTATGGGTTAATCCACTGATTATTTTCTCCATTAATCGATTGTACAAATTCTGAAAATAGTGAGAAATGTTGTCACAAATGCTCAGAGCCCAAAGTGACACCATCACAATGCTTGTTTTGTCAGTCCAAACCTCAAAATGATTAAAATTACATTAAAATAATCAAGAGAAAAACTAATGCGCTCCCTGTACTTATATAAACTGTTGGGTAGTTTAATTTATAACCAAACATACTTTTAAAAAAGTCTTTATATGTTTTGTGTGTGAACATTTTATAGTAGATAAATGTTGTGAATAAAAAAGTACAATATTTCCTTCTGAGATGTGGTGGAGTAGAAGTAGAAAGTGGCATGAAAATAAAACACTCAAGTAAAGTAAAAATACCTCTCATTTGTACTTAAGTACACTACTTGAGTAAATGTACTTAGTTTCTGTCCACCACAGGTAGTAATACAAATTATTCAGTTTTTCTCTCCTTAGTGTGCATTTGATAGTTAGTGTTAAGTGGAAAACTCAGACATTAATACTGATTGTTGTTTTGCTTCATTTGAAGCTGAAGTGAAGCCATATTTACCTGATGAAACAGTGTGGTCTGAAAAGGAGGAGTATTTCAAAAACTCGGCTTCAAAGTCTCTGCTGATAATGTCATCAGGCAGTGACTCGATTAGGGCCTGCTTCATGGGGTCCTCGCTCCTCAGTACATTAGTGAGGTGACTCCACACATATGAGCCCACTAGAGAAGAAGAGAAGCAAAAACCTATAATGTCAAACAGAACAAGGGGAGAAACTATATGGACACATTTGAAAAACCATTTATATGACCCCTGGGGAACACCACACTATAACTATAACATTAATAATGTCCATTACTAAACATTTTCACTGGCAGAACCAAATCGGTTTCAATCAGACCTTGGCCGGAGGTCTCATTCCTAAGCGCTGTCTTCACCACTTCAAACACCTCCTGATCGGGGCAGCGCATGAGTTGTTGGTATGCAGCGATTCTGACCTCAGGATCCTCCTGGGAGGAGCGGTACAGCTGCAACAGCACAGATCTCTGAAGGACGGAAACTGCTGTCAGTCACTGAAGTTAGACTGCCGGTCACCTCTTCACCTCCACCTCAACTCATCATGAATCAATTACCATCCCATTTATAAAGTTGGCTTCTGTGATGTGAAAACTATTGACTTTAGTATTACTTTCAGAATCAACTCACATCAGCCGAGCAGGGAAAGCGTCTGAAGGATTGGGTGGCAACGAGTCTCAGCTCCAGTGCATTTGAGTGGCCAAGCATGATGCGATTTAGCAGAGGAATGAAGGCTGGAGCAGACAGACCAGTGTTTCCCACAGCTTTCAGTGCATAAAAAAGCTGTCAGTGAACAAAATATCTGCATATTAGGTTATGTTTATGGAAGAATATTTCAAAACATCCATGCTTCAGACAGTTACATCAAATCATCAGGTTCAGTGTCAGTACATTATGTCCACCTACTGTGTCTCTCTGAGTGGGATGTTCTCCTTTGCAGCCCTCTTTCAGGGTTTCCTCAAGAATCTGTAGGAAGGTCTGTATCTGAGGAAATTTACTGCAGGAGGCTTGAGACCTTTGACACATCTGATAGACCAAAGATGATCCAGCTAACAACGCCTTGGACCACATCTCTGGGACCTCCAGTAAGACCTAACACAGACAGCAGAGATGCAGTAAGTGCTAAGTCTCCGGGCCTATAAGAAATGTTGAGCATGTGTGCTTGTTTGGATGGATGGATCACACCCTTTATTATGTGATATCCCTGATGACATTAATTATATATATGTCAGGAGTGAATAGAGAGATTTGGGCTAATGTCACCCAGAGGTTCCTACATTGATGGAGTCAATGATCTGTGGCGAAGGATAAGGGATGAGGGCAATGGTGGTGAGAAAAGCGTGAGCCTGCTCCTCCTCCACCTCTTTGTTCCTCATTAAGTCAGTCAGTAGTACGATACAGTTTTCGGATCCACAGGCTGGTAATGCATCCAACAAAGGCTGCCTGTTCAAACAGTTAATGAACATCAGTGTCAACCTCTGCTGCATGTCTGTAACCTGCATCATATGATATAATGTGGTGTTGTAAAAAATTATTAGCAGTTCAACATTTTGGGAAATACGCTTAATCACTTTCTTGCCAAGAGTTAGATGAGAAGATCGATACCAATGTCATGTCTGTACAGTAAATATGAAGCTACAGCTAGCAGCTGCTTAGCTTAGCATAAAGAGTGGGAACTGGGGGAAACAGTTAGCCTGGCTCTGTCCAGAGGTAACCAAATCCACCTCCCAGCACCTAAAGCTAAAGCTCACAAATTGACAAGTTATATCTCATTTGTTTAATCGGTACAAAAACAGAAGTGTATAAGCAGAATGTTGTGGTTTAACAGGTTGTTACGTGCCCGTCTGTTTCTTTGTGCTAAACTAAGTTATCTCAAGGCCTATTTTGTAACATACAATGTTATTGTTGTGACTTCTAGACTTGCTGATTTCATTTGCTTTTGATTTGCTTTTTCAAAATCTCAGAATCTAACTTTCTTTAGCACAAAGACTGGAAACAGGAAAACAGTTAGTCTGTTTCTGTCCAAAGGTACGCACCTAAAGCTCACTAGTTACGTTGTTATCTTTAATTTGTTAAGTCTGTACAAAAACAAACATTGTGGTTTTACAGGATGGGGTTTGTGCAGGACTATTTCTTCTCTGTGTGCAGTAACTTCCTTGAGTCTCTGCTGCTTGCTTGCTGATAATTATTTTTACAGCTTTTGAGTTGCTGCTAGTTACCGGTGGACAGATACAGGCTAACTGTTTCCCCGTTTCCAGTGTAAGTCTTATACTAAGCTAACCAACTACAAGCCATAACTTCATATTTAAACATATTGCCTCCATTCCATTTAGTTGTGCCAGTAGGCCATGCAATTAACCAGAATGGCTTAATTGGAATTAGGCTATTGTTAGTTATGTAATTAATTACACCTATGTTAGACAAGTATAGTAGTAGTAATAGTAATAGTAATAGTAATAGTATGTATTTCTCAGACTAGTGCCTAGTTAAGTTGGCTACTGTCCCATACACTGTTTACTTTTTGTTTACTTGTTTACTTGTCAACTGTGTATTTTTCTCATAATAACCCATAGACAAGGGTTTTTCATCTTTAATCCAATTTACAGGTAGCTAAGCACAAAATATGTTATTAATTGTAATGCAGAGTGTGGAAATACGCAACTTAAACAGTCAGATTGATGAAGAACTGACAGACTGGCCAAAAGATACTCCAATATAAAACACAATACAGACCAGTCATTGCGGCACTTGAAAGACGCTTCTTGCCAAAGTATCTTGAGTTGAGAGAGAGTCAGATCTCTCAGCTGGAAAGCCAGTTGAAGGAACTCTCGTGAAACCTGAACAGATAAAATACAAACATGTATATATATATGGACTTACATTAAATGTATCATAAAACAAATGCAATTTACTATTTTCAAAACTATTCCTCAATCAGAAGCAATTGCCTCCTGCCGAACTGTGAACACCAGTCATCCCATCAATCACCTGATCCCCTCACACAAACATAATGACAATCACAGAGTGTGTCTCTCTTTTAAACACTTCCCATGTAAACAGACGGATGATGAAGGTTGCCACAATAGGTTTGACTGACCTCTTGTGTATGGGAGACATTAAAATGATTGGCTCATACACAGCAAAGCCTCGGCGGAAGTCAAGCCACAACTTACAAACACAAACAAGCCAACAGTGGTCTGGCAGGGTACAGGCTACTTAAAAGTGATTCAAATTCATGGTTGAAAAGGACCGTAGCACCTTAGTGTACGGAAGGGAAACTGAAACATACAATGAGTGTTCCTTATAGATAAGTACAGTTAAAAGCTGACTGGAACCTGTTGGGGCCTACCAGTTCTGGGTCTGAGGTGAGGCTACATAACATCCTGACAGTTTGACTGGCTTGCTGAGGCGTTGATGCTGTGGCTTTTCCTGGCCTTGCAGCCCCCACGTCCTCAAACTGCAGGTCTCTTAGCACACCAAGACCTAAGGAATCTGCATGAGTGTGATGGAAATTTCCAAGGTAAAACAGTAAACATATGTAAAATATCAAATTTCCATCACAATGACCATTGAGCATCAGGGTCCATGTCTGTAAAGCAGTATGCTATGGGTAACTGCAAAAGTGTTAATACTACTCCTGACCTGCGCCTGAAGGAATCCCTGGCTGGGCTCTAAGCAGGAGCAGGGTAGACACTGTTTGGGTCTTCACCAGACCTGCAGTCCTGGACCATGTTGCCACAGAAATGGCTTCACTGCAGTTGACCTCTTCCATCACTGTAGATCCATGCCTCTGAACACAGTGCAGCTCTGACTGTACTGACTAGTGAAAAGAGAAGAAACAAAACCTCCTATCATAAATGCATGAATCAAATGCGACTGTTGAACCAAAGTACTGATGTAATCTTGATAATAGTGACTTAAAATGGACATCCTCATAGTGAGTGGTGACAACCAGCGTCATCATCAATTTTCAACTTCTACTTTTCTTGAACTTAGATACCAAAGAGTAAAAAAGTGGAATCTACAAGCCTAATATACCACCACATCCATAGGATTTTCAAAATACTGAGGCCATGAGTCAAAATCTAACAGTGGAACCCAATTGCCTATTTTGTGTTTAAATACTAGTCTAAATGCTGCTTCAAAGCTTCACACTGTAATTAAATCCAAGTGAAGAAATAGTTAGATTTAAATATGCGATGTCCAGTAATTTTGGAATTGGCCTATAGCAAAACCACCAGGTGCAGGTTTTTAATTGTATGTGACTGTAAACTCCCCCCAAGTTGCTAAAACCCCCAAAATTCACCTTTAAAAAAACCCTCCAAAACCCCCAGAAAAAGTACTTGTCCTTATTCATACCCATATTTACATACATTTTTAACAAAGACACAAGAGAGGTAAACTCACTGTATCTTCAGCTAAAGATACTGAATGGGGCCAGAAGTTTGCCAGCCTGGACTGCTGGCACTGTTTTAGATCCCTGCTCTTGAGAAGCACAGGTCCTCGCCTCTCATACCTGCTGGTACATGTCCCGTACACATCCGTCTGAGAAAGAGGCATTAAAGAAAAGTCTGATAATCACTCTGTGAATGCACTATATTATGGCAAGCGGATGTTAATGACAGTTATTGTTTGTAGCAGGAGCAGAGGTGGTTTTTGTCAGAGTAGAAGAAGTAGTTGTTGCTTGTTTTAGTTTGAATTCTCCTTAAAGACTGAATAGCTTCTGTATTCCTACATCTTTGAAACTGAACATGTCTTACATAGAACATAGCCCTCATCAACCCTCACCTCCTTTTCTAATTCCTGTTTGGAGGCAGTGCGGGAGGTCTGGAGCATGCTCAGTAGAGCCCTTTTAATGTTGAGGGCCCACACCTGCTCCCCTTCTTGATGACACAGGGCCGTGACCTTTCCTGCCTGGAGAGAGAACTTGAGGCGCGTTCTCTCCAGTGACTCCCTGGGAAACAAAAATACCCCAGATGAGCCCCCAGATGAGTACCCTCGAGACCCAATAACACAGAAAAGTGGAGCATCTGAACAGAGTATCACATTCACAGTAAAAACACTTGTAGCATTCCAAAATGATTGAGACTTCCACTTTGAATGCTGTAGACCGAGAAGAAGAAAACCACATGCATGTATGCAAAATAACTGAGCAGGTGAAGGCTAAATCATGCATTCATTCACACACTATCCTTTATAAAAACACACTAAATTGTATGAAATCTGCTGTATATTACCTCAAGCTTTTTAAACGCTGCACAGAGTGTTCCTTCTGAGGGGAAAGTCGCTTTATCTGTGGATTCCTAATCTGTCAGACAAGCATGTGCATAAATCATTGACTTGTTGCAGTACTTTATATACGTTTTTTTTCCCACAAACACTTTCATTTATTGCTGACCTGCATCATTAGGTGACACTTGGAAACCACGTCGATATCAACCACACAGTCCAAAGCCAGTCCATTCCTCCCAGCATTGGAGCCATGAAGGGTTGTGGTAATTGTCGTGCTATACCTATAAGTATACCTCACCCCGCTCTGATAGGACAAGTCAGGGGTAGGAATTCCTAGGTGAAATAAAAATCACAACATTCAACGAAAAGAAGAGTTTCAAATCGAGTAGTACAAATAACTGAATGTCTTACATGGAAAACATTCTAAAGTATTTATCAGTAAGAATGCACCATATTTCATCTAAGTAACAAACTAGATTCTCACCAGCACAAGTTGAATCACAGGGGTTTGTTTCCGTCCGAAAGCAATCACCTACTGTGTAGAAAATCTGGTCAGAAATCTCAGACATAATGACTAAAAAAGATCAACTTTTCTCAAAGACAGCCTGCCAACCTCCACACTGAACACCCAAAAGTCATGTCATTGTGACTCTTGGTCAGTTCATCTTTCAATAGTAAATGAAGTGACACACCAAGTTTGAATATCTCACAACAAAAGCCATAAAACTCACCATGTAGCAGATGAAAAATTAGTGTAACATGCAGACAACTGAGCAGAAACAAAGACATAGCCATATCAACCCCAAGTCACTGCAGGTCTGGCTGCTTCCAAGACTCCACATGTAAGCGCGATGAAAACCAAGCAGTGTTCACAGCCACTGAATGACCACGCTTGTACGTGGGCTTCCACAGTGACCCATAGTGCTCACATCAACCAATCAGGAAATACCCTCCAGGCTGGAGCTACAAACATTCACTGAGCCAATCACTTGACAGAGCGCCGGGCTTCATAAAAATTGAGGTTTTCTCATACCCCTATTAATTTGGACAGACATAAGACATGTGCCAACTATGGAGAAAAACATCAGTTTATTGCAGGAAAGTTAAACAGCTGGCAGTCTGGCAGCATATTATTCAACCTGAGATGTAGGCTAGTTTTAGACATAGCCTAGGTGCATTATGAAATGGTGGATAAAATAACAAGAACACCTTATAGGCTATAATACAGAATAGAACTACAAAACAAAGCATGTAATAATAATTAAGTGTTTATGTTATTATACCCCTTCTTCAACAATAAAATTGATTTGCTTTGAGGTTATTTAAGACTTCACAGTCCTACACACATACACGGACCTTAATGACCATAATCAATAAGCCACACAACCAGTGTGGACCTAAGCTACAGTTGAGAGATGTAAACATAAGAAAAGACATACCTCATTAGTGTCTGTGTTTTTGATTAAAAAAAAAAAGAGTAGAGACTTGAGGGGGGGGGGCTGTGGTGGCTTTATTACAATACAGTAACTGCCAGAAATGTGACACAACAAGCCCTCAACCAATCAGCCATGTTCTTCAGCCTCCGACTGGGCTAAAAAAAACTAATTCACCAAACACGCCTTTTATCCTCATCTCCTTCCCCCATCATTACCCAAGCTGCCTACTTTCCACGATGCACCCGCCGCCGCGGTCCACGCCCGTGCTGCGACGTCAGCCACTGCGTGCTGCTGGTGAAGCTGCGTTCAAATACATGCAAAAAATTGTACTAAAGCTCTTCCTTTGAAATATCCCTGTTAACTCGCTTTCGTCCTAACTTTCAAGCAGTGTAATGCTACTAGTAGTGTAGTGTGTAACATTAATTGTGCAAATTTATGCTTTAGTAGTATAAAAATATAAAACAAGTATACGTGTGAGTTAGAGGTATTATATTAAATCCACTTGAAGAACACAACTTAATGTCATATTTTAATGAGATGTCTATTCAAATAGATATTGGCGTAACTGTAGTGACAAAATAAAAGTTCTAGCGCGGCCTTTATATAAATTCTAAACACAGAAACACCACCACACAAATTATAACTGATAGGCCCTGAACGCATCTTTAGTCCGGGCCAGGGGGCGTAGGTTTGACCGGCTTCTCGGAGGCTCAGACACAATGAACCGTCAGACGGTTAGGGGCACGCATGTTGGGCCGGAGGTATTGGCACGGTTTTAGCATTCTATTATTCTCAATTGTGCCTTTTTTGTATTGATTTGAGTCTTTTTCAAACTGCTGATACACTGTATGGCGGTAACACGGCTCGGCTGGAAACGGTTGGTTTGTCGAGTTTGATGAAAACGAGGTCGGGATCAGACAACCGTTAGCCCCTCCTGGCGGATTTTTTTTTTCTTTTTTTTTCCTCAGCCAGCTAAACGAGACAGATAACAATGTCGTTGACTGCCTCGTCTGATTATTTCGCTGCCGAGTGTTTGGTATCGATATCCAGCGGGCCTGTCCTGCACAGACCCACCCCGGTCGCCCCCACCAGCCAGCCGGCCACGGTGGGCCTGCTCCCCGGGGAGCCCGACGGGTCGAGCGAGGATAGGGAAGTGCGGGAGACGCTGAGGCTTGAGGGGGCGAACATGATGGCGGTGGCCGGTATCCTCACCGACCTACACGGTAAATTCCGCCCCATGTCGGCTTACTCGGAGAGCAGCAACTCCTCGTGTGGTGGGGAGAGCGGTTACACCACGTTGTCCGACCCGACCACCCCTACCATGACCCCATCCGCCACCCCGATCCCCGGACAGCAACAGCAGCTGAGGGGGGGAGGAGGAGGAGGCGTGGGGGCCCCGCGCTCCCCGGTGAAGCGACACCAGTGCACTTTTGACGGATGCGACAGAGTTTACGGGAAATCGTCCCACCTGAAGGCACACATCCGGACACACACAGGTACGGAGACAACAACAGTATTTTCATCAGCAGGTCACACGTTGTGTACGCACACAAAGGCTAAAGGCTAGATATACTTTGTCCCTAACTTCTGCTTTGTCGGTGACATGCACGCCCCATATTGTTATTACCATTTACATGATATCGCATATAAATCGGAAGTTGTGGGCTCTTTTGTGCTTTATGAGATTAACTTATAATAGTGGCAATTTTCCCCCCGACTTGGTACAATAACGTGGCCAAACAAAGAGGGAAAGACAGAAAAACGCCCCTTCAGAGGCTCTGACAAAGAAGTAAACTAACAAAAGAACTGGGCTGGACGTTAAAACTGGTGACGATGGTCTTCCTCCGGGCCGGATTTGCATATGAAATGAACGTAAGACGAAACCTTAACGTCGAGAGAAGCCAGATCATTCTCGATCACAGCCTATCCTGTCGATGGCAGCAGCAAGTGCTTTTTGTTTTGGTTGTTCAGTGACTCTGGGTATCACCTCCCCTGCCTGGCAAGCTGAAATCGACTTTACTCGTTGCAGCGTGCACATTTATTGATAAAACGCTCAAAGAAGAGCAGCAGAAGGACGCGTCCGATACTGGATGCTTACTCCCTGTGTTTGATAATCTACAAATTATCATAACTCTTTTATGTGTTTGCTGAAGACATATGAGTTTGTTGCATCTCACTTTGCGACCCATTTTAAATACTTGGGTTCTTAGCCACCATGTAAAACGCTAGATATGGTTTGAAATAGACCCACCTCTCGTAATGAAAGCAAAACTCTGCAGCTGAGTTAAAACGTGCATGTGGTTTTTCGCGAAATGAAGGGAATTTGTGTGTTCGGGGTCACTGAGCAGGCGCAAACGGATTAGGGACAGGAAACGGCTCAAAGAAACTCTGGTGGGAACGCCCACAGAGAGTACTGCTACAACAACGTGGCCTGGCTTTGTGATCTTGAAAATGGCATCCTACTCGGTTATCCTTGTTTTACTCATGTTGCCTGCATGAGATTAAGGCTAACAGTAGCTTAGGAACACTAATCTGGAGAATATAAATCCCAAATATGTTTTGTCACGCATTAAACTATGTACAGATGAATATTTGTCTACACCATATTTTATAAAAGTAATGTAGGCAGTGGATTTGTGTCACTGGTATTTAATGTGTTAAAACTTGCTTCAGGGATTAAGTCATAGACTCCTACCAATATTTTCTTTATTAACATTACAAAACATGTAGGCAAACAAAACCTATTATGCCCGATATCGTTAATTTGAAAGCAGGTGATTATATTTGAGGAAAATACTCTTAAATAATAAAATGGACCACAGCTGTTACACATGTGTAAATTGCACATCTCAAAGCTAAGTTGATTCATTGATTAGTCTGTCAATAGAAAATTAATCATCACCTATTTTCACAGTCCATTAGTAAATATTTATTTTAAAAACATAACAAACTTTCAGCCTCTTGGTTGCACAGATTTGCAGCTTTTTTTTTGTGTTACGTTGTAGGAAATTGAACCATCATATGCTATTTAACCAGTATTACAGTGTAACGCAGTACACTGCAGGTAACACTACACAAGTTTTATATTTTATTCATCTAAAAAATCACATGCATGCTTATTGTGTAAACATGGTGACTTTAAGTTACACAGTTGGTGTTCAAATGGTAAATGATTTGGTGGTTAATTGTTGTCTCTCCTCTGCCTCCACGCCACAGGAGAGAGGCCCTTCCCGTGCACCTGGCCTGACTGTGAGAAGAAGTTTGCCCGCTCTGATGAGCTCGCCCGCCACACCCGTACCCACACAGGGGAAAAACGCTTCCTGTGCCCACTGTGCGATAAGCGCTTCATGCGCAGCGACCACCTGATCAAGCACGCCCGCCGTCATCCGGACTTCCAGCCTTCCATGTTGGGGCGCAGCAAGGGTGCATCCTCCTCTTCCAGCCCAGCCATGCACCATTAGGATGGTTCGGGTCGGGGGATTCCCGGCAGGAGCACCGAAGGTCACAGTGGTTTCAAGTTAACCAGCTACAATCAGATCCACTGATTAGGATTTAGCATTGCTGTGTTGCACTCAAAACATGTGCACATGACACCAACATACACAAGCCAATACACACACACACACAGAGCTGGGTGTGAGGGGGCCTCATCTCTGCATCCACACAGATGAGTCATGTGACCACTATCCACCTGCTCAACATAACTAGGGTTGGGTATTGAGAATGTTCCAAATCTATAAGAACTGAGGATTCGTTAAGAAATGTGCTTTTCGATTCCACTTATCGTTTCCTGAAAGCAAAGTTTGGACCTACTGCTCTTCATTTACATTGCTGCTTACACGCGTATCAAAGCACGTGTATAATGTGTACAGTATGAGGGACTCAAGCTAGCTTTCCAAAGTGTGGCTATGCTTCGCTACAGACTGTAGTGATACAGTGAAATGTATTCACTGCATGAATATGAAAACATGCGAGGGAAAGTCCCATCAAACATAACACATTTGGCACAGAATGGAATAAAAATGCAGAGTTTTTGATGTCCTGTATCATCGCGTAGTGAAATTGGTTAATCCACGCAGTTAAATACTGGACAAATCAAGGTACTTCATCACATTGATGAAAAAAAAATCTGTAAAACCAGTTGTGCCATAAAGCAATCCTGCTCACTGATTTGCAGCATGGCACACCAGAGAATATTTATATTTGTCTTACTTTTTTCACCAAAAACAACAGAAAATACTTCATTTTCATATATACGTCATTTATTACATGTTTATGGCAGCCTAAACCGTATGAAAATAAACATGTTTTTGCTTTCAGTATACTTTGTTTTCTCTCTCACTCAGGATTCGATTGGAATGGGAATCATTAAGCAGATTTGAATCGATTAAATAAACCCAACCCTTAAAAAAATAACCTTATTTTCTCAAACTGAAACACTTTCACAAAAGCAGGGATTTTTCATGTTTTCTGTAATAATCTGCACATTCATCAGCCAAAACTCCACTGTTTTCTTGTGGTTAATTTGTAGATTGTTGTGCTTTTCACCATAATTTTTTTTTTTTTACCATGAGTAGCACAATATTGTGACGTTAGGTAACAAGGCAATGACTAGAAGTCTTTTAGCTTGCTTTTTTTTTAGCTTTGCTGATTTCATGTAAAAGTTTTAGTGGTGACACATTCCTTAATTTTTATTGCATTAGATCAAATCAAATATTAATTTTGCCAGAAAGTGGATCAAACACTGTTAAGGGGCTGTTTGCACGCCATCTAGATGAGTTACCCATGAAATGCTAACATAATACACAGTAGTGTTATGTCTAAAGCTGATGCAAATGTATATAAGCTTTAAGCTTTTAATATAGAAAACTGGTAATGCTACTAGCAGCAGAATTAATACATGTGATGAATTGTAGTCCTTATATTAGGGGTAACATTATACACTTGATAGGATGGCATTGCCTGTGAGTGTTTGTGTGTATGCGTTTTTATTTACATTTTTGTGTGTATGCTTTGGTATAAAAATATTTGGGGGGTGAGGCGGTGACACAAGATGAGCTTGACTTTCAGCCTGCTCCCTTCAAGGTAAAAGCGTTCAGGTCTTTCTTTACACGGTTTGAGTTTGTTGTAACTATTTTGTATGGGAATCAAAATTAGTATAAAAAGTTACATTAACATGGTCCATTTTGAAAAACTAATACCAGTAAACCTTTATTGAGGAGGACATTTTGACTTGTCAGAGCAGCAAAAGCACATATGCAACTAATACAGTTAGTGATGGCTCTATTCTGCGTAGGTGTGTCATTGAACCAGCATGCACAATACATGGGGGGTGCCACTTGTAAATGGAATGCAGCCATTAATAATGTTCTTAGTTACACCTGTGTTTGACAAGTTGAACATTTTTAACATGTTGGGAAAATAAATTTAAAAAATGAGGATTTGTTTAGAACATGTAAAGTAAAAACTGGCACCTGAATATTCCTATATGCCAAAATGTTCACTCATCCTATGGCTTGAATTTCAGGACTAATCACTCAATTAACAATCACGTTTAACGGAATCAAGCTAACCTCAAGTAATTTAGATATTTAAAATCTATTGGAGTACATGCAGTGTTCAGTTCTGACTTATAGAGAGGTTAAATCTATTCATTTTCTTGTTTTGTTTTTTTTTCTGTTTCCACACTGTTTGTCCAGCTCATGGAAATATTCCTTTATCTCAGAGAACAACACTTCTTCAGGAAATTCTGAAAGCCTTAAACTATGTCATAACTACTTTGCACCATGTTTACAGTTGGATCATTGTATAGGTTTATATGCCCTCTTGTGGGCTCATTACACATACTCATTATGCAATATGGCACTTTTTTCTTACAGGTGTATTTGGCTGAATAGTGTAATGGCTTGCACTGTTACTATGCCTCTAAAAGCAGGCACTGTGGAACTTTGCTGGTGTGTTGATAACCAATGGTTTAACTGCCTTTTTTTCCAAGTGCTTTAGATCGTGTGATAAAAAAAAAACTGGGTAGTTGTTATTTTTATTTATTTTCCTTTTTTTCCCTTTTTAGTGTTTGCTTAGTCATCCAGGCCATCTCTTTTTGTTTTTTATTTCCCTCTTAATGGAACACGCTTCATTTGTGTTTCCAGATGTGTTGACTTTGTCTCCTCCACACTAAGATCAAAGAGAAAGTCTGCACATGTCTTCCTCATTCATCTCTTGCAAAACCATCTACATGTACCTTTTCACTGTTTATCTCATTTGAGTGGGAGCTGTACTCGTTGAAACGAATGCAACGCTTTGAAATTTTGTACACATTTCTTTAGAGGTTCCATCTGTCGACAGCTCTGGGTTGCTGCTGGCAGTGACCTTGAACGCATGGACTGTTTAACGAAGGAACACACACAATATACTTGTTTGTTTTTTACGTCTTCAAATGGACATAATCCCTCTCATCTCCTCTCACAGATGGGAGTGTCTACTCACACAGACTCTGTCCGGGTCTCAAAGCTATAATATCACAATAAGAACATACCTCACTGATTGTGTTTGCCGTGTCTGTACAAAATCCATCCAACCTGTGTTTCAGAAATTCCTATAAAGCCACTGAGCCTTGGGTTTCAGAAATGTGTTTTTATCAGCTCAATGGTCTATTGTGTACCCATTTCCTTATCTTGTCTTTATATGCAACATCACTACTACCTGTGTAGCAGCAGAATATCCTTTTCCCTGCCTCAATGAACTTCTGTTGTTAATTGATAGTAGCAAATTAATCTACTGGATAAATCCTGCAGCCCCTGTCTTTAAAGTCCAGCTGGAGTTTTAATCACCAAGGGAAAGACTCACTGCAGGTTGTAAAAGAAAATACCTGTAGACTGTCACTTCACTGCAGATTTCAATTGAAAAAGCTCAATCCAGATGCATTTGTTCATATCACTGAATGTGGCTTGATGACAGACGGCCATTATCTACCTTGGATTTCATTTTTGCTGCGCTGCCTCGCTGAGAAAGAAAAAGCGCTAATTTCTCTTGTCACCACACTAATTCAAATATGCACATTGTACAGAAACGGATGTTTTTTAAACTGATGCCTAATTTTTACATTAATGTAATTTTTAAAAGAAAATCCTCTTATCAAAGCTTTAGTTATGGGAAATAGGAGGAACCGTGGAACTAAATAATTGCTGCGACAAGCTGTTTTGATATTTATATTCTCAGGTGTCTAAAATTTTGAGCATTTGCATTTCAATATTTCCTGTTCAACACCTAAGTACAAGCATGATTTATTTCTTTTGCTATGCTGATTAATTTATTCCAAAAATGTATAATGTGTGGTTTAATTATACTTTTCATAACTCATTTTGTGATATGGAACAGTACTAATATTAAATGGTTCCATCGTTTGCTTGACATGAGAATACCAGTGCTTTTTTTAAAAATAAAAATCCTTAAGTTTGATTGCTGTGTTCATCTTTTTGTGTGTGTGTTTTTGTTTTGATGAATCAGGGTGGACTATAAGTACATACAGGAAACATGTTTTTAAAAAGGGGTCAACAATAATAAGACATCAAGAGAAATTAGTTTATTTGAAAAGTACAAAGTGGCGTAGCTGAATCTAGGTCACAATCATTGGCTGGCTGTAAATACCATGATGACACTTACAGAAGTGACATCTTGACACAGTAACGCACGGCTGTTTTTGAACTTTAACTGGTGTGTTAATATGAGTAGCACGGCTGCATTTTTTAATCCAATTCTCCATATGGTTTTGTCCATTTTCCTGACTTTCCCAAAATTTTAGTTTTATGCATTAAATTTGTGTATTGCAACCACCATGACAAAAATGTATGACCAGTTTAATTATTACAATGTGAAAAGTATCAATGTTATGACATTTCTTTGTGTTATTACTACATACAAAATACAAAAGTTTATTTTCTACTTCTACTCAAACAATTTTCAGGCCTTTAGACAAAATATCCTAAAATGTTTTTTGCTAAAACAATTTATCTGATTAAAACAAAAAAACGTTCTCATTATAACATGAGGTTTGGTGTGTTATATAAGATTAAATCTCCATATGTTATTAGAACATAGTAATGACAAGAAAATATGCTATAATAACATGAAAAATATCTTGTTGAAATTAGAAAATTCATTTTTTAACTAGTAGCTGAGCAAACATCTTTTGTCATGTCCACACAAACGTAGGCCTATTTAAGAAACAGGTGTATTTCTGGGCTTTTATTACTCAAATTTCAAACAGTTATTGCTTGAAATCCAGTAATCCTGAACAAATGTTACAAACAAATGGAAAGACAAACTGTTATTTGCCAGTCTTGGTCTCGACAGGTGGTCTTCTTTTGTGGGTTACCATCAAAGCGAAGTGGCAAAAATGTGTTTGGAAAAATACACCACCAAAGCCCAATATCATCTGAAATGATTAAGGCTTTAAGGTGGGTCTTGAAGAGGGTCCTTGTGTTAAAATGCAGGTTTGATAACCTTAATTGTTCCAGTTTTATGCTTACATGTAGCGTGAGTTTTGTCTTAGTTTGACAAAACTCATGATCAACATGAACACAAACTGAACTGTAGGGGGAAGAACAGATTTTTTAGGGGCCCAGCAGCTCTGTCCCTCTCAGAGTTCATCTCTGTTTTCACTAGCAGAGAGAGGAGGCCCGCCACCGTGAGCAGAATGAGACACAGGTCGAAGCCCTACATCATCAGTTTCCTGTTCACGTCGGTGTTTGTCTCCGTTTCTGTCCCAGTCTGTCTCCACGGCCTCGTCGTCCCAGATGGTAGAGGTCTCCGTGTCGCTGACGTAGCCGGGCTCGCCGGTGTAGTGCGTGGGGAAGAGCAGCAGAGGCTCCACGGAAAATGCTCTCAGGTCCCTCTGCTCGAAATACAGCATGTACTCGTCTCTGAAGAGTAAGGAAGGTCGACATGTACATTTACTCAAGTACTGTTCCTACTACTTCTACTCCACACAATTCTTTCTGAATTGTAGAATGTGGTAGTGTTTTATTCAATTTGCTGTTTTTCCTTTTAATTATTTTAACATTCGTTCATTTATTTTATGTCATTTAGAATTTTGTACTATTGGTTAGACAAAACAAGCTTTGTTAAGGTGTCACTTTGGGCTCTGGGTAATTGTGGTAATTTTTACAAACTAAATAATCAATCAATAAATAAAGAAAATAATCAGCAGATGCATCCATGATAACAATAATCATTAGCTGCAGTCCTGTATAAAATAGTTCACACAGTGAAATGCTGTGTACACATTAATACATTAATAATAATAATTTATAATATATTGATCCATAATATAATAGTAGCTACCATTATTCTGCATTGAGTGCTTTTACATTAAATACTGTAAGTATACTTTAACCCACCTTGGATAACTATGACCTGGATGACAATACTGTAAGTACATTTTCCCTATACTATTTGTAATTTTCCTTAAGCTTTCAAATTCATGACTACATAATATAGCATTTTACAGTGTGGTATTAGTACTTTTACTTAAGTAAAACATCTGAATACTTCCTTCACAACTGATGTATATACAGTAGGTGAGACTCACTTGGGGTGCTTGTTGAACATGATCGGTAGGAACTCGTCCACTGGCAGCATTTTGCTCAGGGGTTTTGCCAGCAGGAGCTTCTTGGCCCCATTCAGTGACACGACGTAACCCAAAGTCCAGTAGGAGTATCCTGGGTGCACAAGGTTACTGACTCCCTTCACCCAGTGCTCTGGCTCCTTCACCTGCAGCCGCTTACGGCCTAAATAACTTCACGAGGACAGAAAAGTAAGTAACGGGTCTGTGGTGCTTTAAATAAAACATCATACAAAAACTGCAACAAGTCACTAACATGAGATCCCATTCAAGTCCCACTCTCTGTACATTTTCCATAATAGTCACCAGCCTGCTGCAAAATCTGGGCTCAAATCTTACATCGTCCTCCAGCACAAGCACCTGCTGCAGTTCCTGCTGCACCACCTAAGGGGGCGACACAAAACAGCCTGAGCCTCTGCAGTGGCATCAGACCTCATCATACACTGCCACATCAGCTTGTGTTTGGTTCATAACAGTATGGTTGTACCTGTTTCCAGATGTTGTAGTGGCTGAGAAAGCAGCCAATCTCCCCTCTGGTCAGCACGCGGTCTGAATATGGGTCTTTGTACCCAGGCAGCATGTCTATACCCATGGACTGCAGCTGAGAGGAGTTCAAGGTTCTGTGGAAAACACGAACAAATATATTTCCTCTTAATTACAGTCTATATTTTTCTGACAGGGGAAGTCTAATATTCTACTGTCAATATGCAAAATATACTCTTAAAAATTATTCAAACGGTCCTCAACTACTTTGTTCGTTTGTGTGTTTTCTAATTAATAGTACCGTTCACAAATAAAGAGCATAATGAGAGTGGTAGAATTTACGGCACATTTACTCATACATTAATGTATCTGAAAAATTTGAGGTTGGAGTATTTTCCAACTTTACATGACATTAAATCGTCATATCTGTCAACTGCACTCCGTCTCCAATTTTTTGTTACTTTACAGATGAAGATTTTACATAAAAAATACATAAGATGAATATACAGTTTAAAATGCTTTGTTATAACTGCAGCTCATTCTACCTTGAAAAAAGCAGTTGGCAAAACAATCTCAACTCACTGCCCACTTACTTGCTTATTCTGGAGTTTTCAACCGTATCACATGGTATCACATGTACTTTCCATGTTTCTGAGCTCCTCCTGGACTTCTGATCCAAGGTGATATAAAAGTTGGCTTAATCTACAGGACCATTTGATTGGTAAAAAGCTCTCGCTTCAGTTGTAGTAGAGTATTGTTACATTTTGGTAATACTTTTTAAGTATCTGAATGCTTCTTCCACTGTAACTGTAACTGTATGTCGTACTTGCCATCCACGGCTTCTGACAGTGTAGTGTTGATACCGAGGACAGCCAAAGTACTCAACATCCTGTCCCGCCGATCTGAGCGGCGCTTCAGATTGATCAGAAAGATCTAGAAGTGAAGGAGAATAAAATGACTGTTCACTTGATCAGCACTCCGTAACTGGAACATATCTCTTTAGCGATTATAAATATCTCTGTACCTCATCAAATCCCATCTTCCCTGGTTCTTTAGACAAAGTGTGCACATAGCGTGAAGGCTCCACGGTGTACGCAACTAGAAAGTAAGATCACACATGCCACATTTCACATGAAGTATAGTGAATGTGCACTTTTGAGAACAGTCCTTTGGTTTCAAGGGAATTTCTTACATCAGTTTAACATCTAACTGATGTGAAACGGTCAGAGTGGGAAATGAGAGGCAGTGGGCTTTAACAGAGGAGTGAGACATGTGTCAGGGCTGTGAGAGCAAGAAGGACCAAATATGCTCATACAGGAAATACTGAGCAAAGACTGAAGAAGAACCACCACAGTGTATGTGCAATTAGAGGAAGTGCTTACTGAGTGCCTCTGTCAGCGTGTGGGTAAAACTCTCCTCTTCTTCCTCCAGTGTCTGGTCTTGTTTAAGGGGCACTGGTAAATATCCATAATGGTCCTTGTTGCACACATACATCTGAACTCCTGCAGTGGAGCAGACGGATCAGGTCTCAGTGCAAACACCTTATCATTATTTCAAATGCCGTGACAGATAGATTTCACCTCTAATGGTTACCATACCATGTGGAAAATGATGTAGTGATAAAAGTCTGTCTAAATTAAGATATATAGACTTGCAGATATGATTCTGCTATTATTAAGGAGAGTGATAAAGTTATGAATTATCAGTCATAAAAAGGGTTCATATTTATATGTGCAATGATTATATGAATTTAAATTATATCATTCTATGATGACTTTCTAGCAAACTTCTGTTTCTACATTTCATATGGTATAGGAACTATTACTTTAATTATTAACTTTAATTTACTTTTACCTATATTTTTACACAAAATACATTAATCAACACCTAAATGTAGTGTGGTTTCATTGTTTGCATTAAGTCTTGATTGCTACACATAAGGATTAGTACTAGTGTAAGCACAGTATATACTGATGTATATAAACAGACACTAAAACACAAATTTTATTTCCATAAATTTACCAAAGAAAAACAAGAAAAATGCATCATTGTAATGCCATCAATTGTTCAAAGTATGCATTCTGTTGCAGACTCTGGCATCAGTTCGACAAAGGTCTGACCTGCTTGCCTTGCAGAGAAAGCGAAGACCATGATGTCGTCTACGTCGTAGGGGTAGTCGGGGTGAGGAGGGTGAAAAGCCAACGCTCGGCTGGCTCTGCGCCTCAGGTCCAGCAGGTAGATGGAGTGCACCATGGGGACTGCAAAGCAGCCCTGCCGCTTCCATCTACGGATGGGAATATACTCTGGGGTGCGTCTGTAGTAGCCCTGTGTGTATCAGAAGATCAGTGAATATTCTGCACAGCAAGTAAAGTATATTCTGTTGTGGTCTCTAAAAACCTTACCTGAGGAGTCACGCCACACCAGAAGTTGGAATACAGGCCTTTTGAGTCCAACATGGGCGCCACAATTGTCAGATTCTCTGCTATCATGTCAGATAGCACCTGACGGTTTGTCAGCAAGTTGTCACTGTCCACAAACTGAGGGACAAATAAGAAACATTAGTAGATACAGTGGTGGGATTCTTCATTCTTTGTGACTTAAGAGGCCTTTTACTATCTCACCAATATGTAGTCTGTCCAAAGTCGCCGGGCAGCTCTAAGTGCTGCCTGCTTTAACTTCATCACATGAGTGAACCGAGAGTCGGGCCAGTGTTTGGGACCCTGCTCATCTGCATAAGAGCTGAAAGAAAGCGAAAGTAAGACTGTATCCTTTAGGATCAGAAGACCATTCGATGTCAGGTTAACGACTATTCACATAGTCTATTAATACTGTAAATATGATTAAACAGTATCAGGATAGTGGATAACAAATGGAGTTGCTGCTTCAGAGATTATTTTTTGTAGTAGTGATTCACCTTGGTTGCTCCATGGTTCTCCACTCCACCGAATGGTACAGGTGTTGAACTCCTTCCAGCCACTCCTGAAGCATGGCTGTGCTGTTGTCCACACTGTGGTCAGAGGCTGCCCTGAGATCACAAGGAACATTACTGAACACTGACTTCACCTCTCTCCTTACTTCTCTGGGCTTTCTTTCTTTCTTTCAACTCTCTTTATGTAGTTTTCTCACTTGTCTGAGAATTTGTTTATTGATGAACAGTATTGCAGAATGTGAAGAATGACATTTACAAAGTGCAGTTAAAGTAGCAAAAATGTATTACTTATGTTGTCATTGATAAATCACTATCATTAACACTATTGCTCATTCTTTTTTGTCAGATCTCTAAATCAAATCAGCACATTCTCATTACTTGAATTCTTACAGAAATAAAATCTTCTATAAACCAAAAGGGTAAGTTTTCGTGGTCTTTCCAGAAATATTTTTGAATCAAATGATCAATGCAACAAATAAATGTAACTTTACCAGATGACAATGCGGTCCTTTGGGTAGTCCAGCCTGTCGATGCATCCCAAGAAGTAGGGGAGGCTGTGTTGTGCGTTGCGTGTGAGGATGGTGATCAGCACTGTGGGCTTCAGCAGCGAGGACTCCCGCTGGGCCGTTTGGAGGATATGATCAGGTGGCAGCTCCTCTGTGCTGCTGTGCAGGAATAGCTTCCCTGCTAAAATCACACAATAAAATACGAATCCCACTAAACCAAGAGGCATATTTCCAACAGGGCACGTTGATGTCTCCGTAGGCTCAGACTGGTGCAACTGAGGGACAGACTCTCACACACACATGATAACTCACACACACACACACACACGTACACACACACACACACACACACACACACACACAGGGAGAGAGGGAAAGACAGAGAGAGATTGAAGAAAGCCTATACAGATATTAGAAAACTTTTATTATTATTATTATTATTATTATTATTAATAAAGAGTATTGTAAAACATATCAACAATGTATCTATAATGTTTTTATAATCAATTAGGCCTATTTGCTAATTTTGTTTATTTTTTCACGTTTATCCTCAATTTATAAATTTGTTTTATCTTGCTTTTAATTCGTAAATCTATTAAAATATATAAATATATAACCTAAAAAGATGTGAATAAGAGAGAGAGAGGACTTAAATTAATTTACCTTAAATGTTTCAGTAATTGTGTGGACTTTGGGCCTTTTCTTCCCTGAACCGAGTCTTCAAGGCAGCGGTCTGGGTCTGACAGGCTGCGCGGAAAACAAAAATGAGTCACATTTTCCTGCCGGACGACTTTCACGGTAGCACGCCGACAAACTGAAAAGTCTTCTCACACATGTCGTGACAACAGCAGTGTGCCCAGAAGGTTAAAGAGGCAGTATTTTGAGTCTTGAGATACGATAAGTAATTAAGATGTCGGACGTGTCAAAGAAACCTCCACCTGCGAACTGGATCCTTCAGCATCCAACGGTGAGTGTTGGTGGACCAAAGTGCTGCATTCAGATGTCTGACGCTAAACCATGTAATAACCAGAGTTGTTTTTGTTTTGTTTTTCTCGTATTAGTATCAGCAAATGAAGAATCTGGAGATTGGAGACAGTGCACAGGTACATGCAGCTTTCCTTGTGTACATGGATCTTGCTGAGGGTGAGTTTGACAAGATTGTGGAAAATTTTAGCAGCAGCCATCACGTTTTTGTTTGTTTGTTTGTGTAATAAGCATAGAAGGGGAACATTTCATAGGCTGATAATCCGGATTTGTTTCTCTTTTATTTATGATTTTACATTTATTTATTTATTCAATGGATCAGTTGTGTTTTCTGTGAATTCTTATCTCCCAACATTGTGGTTTACATATGGTCCACACACTTAATAAACTTACTTAAATTAAGAAATGTGAAATCCTTTAATTTAATTTTAATTAAATACATTGTATCTGTCTTAAAACTTTCAGTTAAACATGTTAAAGGCAAAAAGTAATAGAATCAGCATTTTAGTGCCACCATGTGCAGTGGGTGTGTAAGTGTAGATTGTAAACATCATCTTTGCTTATTAAATCTCCCTAATTCATAAAACAGTTACAAGGACATGAATATGATGTTCTAAATGGTACAGCCCTGCCCCTTGTACATTTACAGTATGAGACCGAGACATCTCATATGTACATAGACGCAACCGAGTCATTTTAATGAAAATAAAGGGTTAACTAGGGTAAAGCTTTACTCACATAATGAAAATGTAAATGTTATGTATTCAAATATTCCAAAATAGATACTATTTCACAAGTATTTGGCCAGCATATTTTAAGAGGTTAGTATGTATGTTTTGTTCTAAACCCTCCATTCATGCATTCACTGTACATAATTCAGATTTGTCAATGCACATAAGTTACATAGCATATAAACCTGTGATCCTTGAATTGGTGTCTAGTGCATGGAGAGTTTGTGCAAAAATAGGCCAGCCCGAGAAAAATATGTCATAAACAGGTGGGGAAAAGGTCTGAAGAATCTGTATTCAGTGGCGAGTTTGTCTTATCAACAAAATACTTCATCCCTGTAATAACGTTTGGAGGAGACACTACAGTTAGCCATAGACACACTGTGTTTCTTGTTCTCCGCAGTGCGTCGGTGGAAAGAAGTGTCATGTGTCAAGAATCCTGAGCTGCAGGTGGTTTTGCTGGAAGGGAGGGAGAAGGAAGGAGAACCCATCCAGACAATTCTTCCGTTGCCTGCTCACAGATCTCTGAGCCACAAAAGGTAATGAGACACAGCAGAAGAGCTAAAACTTACTGTCACATCCTTCTTTTGGTTTTACTGTCACAAGTTGTCTTCCCAAATTTCCCAAACTTATAGCTTCCTCCTCTCTGCTGTGCAGCATACGTCATGTGCTGGACAGAGGCTTTCCCATGCTGTTGTGTGCTGTAGCTTCTGACTCCACCCTGGTCTACCAGAGGATGACGGATGGGTTGGTGACACCTGACCCTCCTGTAGGCCCCTTCCAGGATGTGGGACGCCGGCAGCACCGGAAGAGACGGCAGCAGCGCTGAGCAGCTGTAGTGAGAGGACACCTTGGTGGTATTGGGGAACCATAGAGGAGCAGAATGGGACAGGATGTCAGCCGGTCGGTCGGTCTGTCTTTGTAAGCTGCTCCTTAAAAAAAAAGTCAAAGGTGAACTGACATCATGGCAATGGGTGCAAATACTCTGAACCACAGTGCCCTTCTAGTTGCTGTGAGGCCAAGCCTATGATCCCCTCTCAGTAAGAAACAACTGGTAACATCATAACAGTGAAGTCAACTTCAGTTTTGGCTTGTAACTCCTTAAAACCTTTGCCTCATTGTCACCAGGTGAGTGAGTGAAAGCGTGAGTGTTAATTGAATAATTTGCACATGAGGTGAAGAGTTAAAATTGTAAGAGTTAAGATTATACAGTAATTAACAAGAAAAAGAGATAGTTTTGTGCATAAATGCATAATTGATTTCCTGTTTTCCTCACTTCTAATCGTCTTGAACCTGTTTACCTCTTACTTTAGTTTTACCACACACAAATTAATAGACCAACATGTAAGGCTGGGATGATACAGAGACTAATTAACTATGTACTGAGGGGAACATTTTACAGTTGAAAAATAAACTTATCACTGCTCTCTGGTGAACAAACTGTGATGGCGACACTGTTTTTAAATGACGTCAGTCATACCTTGTTAGCCTTTCTGCACTGTTATTTTTTGTTAACATTGAAATCTCTATAAGATAAAGCACGTGGGAGAAGTTTGCCTTCGGGTATTTCTGAAAGAAAGGCTTTCTACTTTATAACCAAGTAGTTTTGGTGCCTAAACTTAACCAAGTTTTACGGATTTCCAGCAGAAAGCCCTGATGGAAAACTTCTCCCATGTGCTAAGTTAAAATTGCCTCATTATATCAGATCTACCATTGTATTAGCTGGGCTGTAATTCATACTGGCATTGAGCTGTCCACTAATGATCTTATCACTCAATTTATGTGTTTAGTGAGCTCCAGTGCACGGTTGCTGATGCTAGTTTGTTTGATATAGTGCCTATATACTACCATTTGTTCATGCACTAATGAGGTATCAGTTTGCTGAGATGCCATGAGGATATAGTTGATGAAATAATTAATCTGGCTGGTTGTTTTCTTTAAAGTAATACAACAGTGTCAGCTGTGTGGATAAGTTACTGAAAACACTTTTAATTTTTCTAGAAAAACAAAAATTCAACATAGAAACCAAACACGACAGTCTCACACTGGTGAGCGAAATACATAATCAGACTTATATGTGATGTAGCAGTGTCCACCCTGTTGGGTTGTCATGGAACAGATACCAAAGCAGGGGACATCAATAACCCTGCTGTGTGAGTGCACAAGTATCTTTTTAATGGTGCAAGGAAGGATTTGACAACATAAGATTACAACACTTCAACCCTGAGCCTTATTCAACATAAATACTCTACATTATAGCAGAAACAGACATGGACAGACAAACACTGTACTGGCCAACGTACTGTAGAAAAGAGGTTCATACTGTGTCTTGGAATGCAGGAAGTTTCCAGCCCCTTTTCTTTTCAGGGAGGCATTCAAGGATGACATATTCAAAATGATTCAGATAGAGACATTGTTTTCACTGTGTCCACAAGAGCACTGCTTGCATCTGGTATTGAAACTTTATATTTGCAACAGTCAGAGTGTTTCAAACGTCTACCGAAGGTCTCCGTGACAGCCATGTACATTGGCCTTCCAGGACTTGTCCAAGCAGGGAAAGAAAAGCAAGTGTATCTTCAAATACCAGGATCTAGGTCATCCTGTGATGGCATCACTAAGGAAGCAAACCTAAATGTTCTCTACCATTGGAGAACCTTGAAAACGTATAAATACTGAACCATCTTTGATTTTGGTGGTCATTTTTCTCTTGGTTGATACATGAGCTGGAACTAAAGTTGTGAGCAGGAGGGCAAAAAGGTGCTTGATTCAAGTTAGTAATCCAATTTTCCCAGGCATGTACATACAAGGGACAGTCCCTCCCCCCCGGTCATGGTAACACATGGTACGGTCCACCCGTAACACTGGAATAACAGCTCTTTCATACTGGGACTGATGGACAAATGACCATAGTGCTATGTCATATCTTCCTCCTCTGAGCAGTAGTCCCGGCCCTGTAAACAAAACAGAGATGTTAATGTACATCCCATTTTTATCCTAATTTAATGGCATATTTATTTCTTATTTCTAAGGCTTATCTCAGTTAAATTGGTATGACAAAATCAATATCATTCCATCATTGATATATATCATGCTACTGCAAAAATAACATGTAAAATATTCAAATGAACAATGAATGAAATGGACTGTGTTCCACGGTTTTGCTTTGCATCAGACCCAGTTATTCAAATGCAGAAAACAATACCTTCAATAAGTCATTTTGTTGATAATCATTTCATATCATCACAATACTGTATCATGGCACTGAAAGTAAATAAGTAATGTCAGTATCAAACTGACCTAAGGATCAAATCATTTTTAGCTTCGCTTACTTACCATTATGAAAGTGAGGAAATTAAATCTCACACTACTACACTACAAAACGGTAATGATGAAACAATAAATACTTCTTTCTGTACTCGCCATATTATACAGATATTTAACCAACATACAGGGACACATTTATTAAAAAAGAGGCCAATTAATTTCCATTAGTAGCCTCAAAGAACAAAAATGCAATGCAGCTAACAACATAAAAACACCTTTTCATCTGTGTTGACTATAGGGATGTGTACGTGCATGCAGCAGCATTATCTCTGACAGGAAAACTACATTCTGCCTACCATTCAGCGTTGCACTTTATCACTGTAGTTTATACAAAATGGTGGAATGGCCTTCTCTCGCTACACGTAGACGGTTACATTTGTGTGTTTTTACCTACAAGGCACTCCTGTGCAAATTACCCAGTTATCTTTGCAGCTTCTTAACTTTGCGGTCAGCAGTTACCAAACACGGTCCAGCTGGGTCCCCGGGGTTGTTTCCAAGTTAAAACTGCCTTTTCATATTGTGCACCCTCAATATGGAACTCCTTACAAAAGATTGTCTGGTTACAGGTGCTAGTACCACTTAGGGAGTTAAAGTTACTGGTTGTAGATGTCCTTAAGGAGAAGTGTAGATGTTTCCCATTGGCTGAACTTTGTAAGTGTATGTATAGGTGTCTTGGAAGATTTTTTAATTTATTGTATTGTATCCCTCTCCTTTTTTCCTTGTATGTGTACACGTTCCTGGCAAATAAAGCTGATTCTGACTATTTGTTTTGCCACGGATAGATACTCATTTGGTGTGCTAGTGAGTATTTCCGGCAGCAGGGCGGTGTGTGGGGGATCAACTCAAAATAAACTAGAGTGCCTGTGCTCAACATGTGTAACTGTGTGGCTCATAGATGTGTTTCTAATAGTTTGAAAACAACAACAGAGCTTCATGCCACACAGAAATAAGCCATATGAGGCATTCGATACACGTATAATCAGGAGTGGACTGGTAATCCATACCGGGCCCGGTGGGCCGACGCACCTCTGGGGTCGGTATAATGTAAATTATTTATTTATATAACTGTTAAAAAAATGGGCCAACATACCAGCCCACAGAGCATGGAAAGCAGCCCATTGGTTCATTTTCTGTACTGACAATGGGCTGGCCCAATCACATCTCTTACTAGCCACTAATCCCTCCCCCTTTGTTTCTTGCGTCGTGAGACTGCTGCCGCCAAATGTGCCAAAATAACCAATATGTTTGCTACCAGGGCTGCAGTAGTTTTAACATCAGCTGAAGTACCTGATATTATGCAGCCAGGGCCACAGGATTAAAAGAGAGGCAGAGGAGGAGGAATTTATCAGCGAAGCAGAGGGACAGAGTGAAATGGAGGAGAGGGGAGGTGAAGCGGTAAGCATGGAGTAGCTCAACCTGTTGGGAGGGAGCAGGGAGGTAAGGTCATAGGTGTCATCTACTCTGGGGACGCTAGGGACATGTACCCACCACTTTTTGAAATGGCAGATGTTGTCCCCATCACTTTTTGAAAGCACATTTTCGAGTGGCCTTTTATTGTGGCCAGCCTAAGGCACAACCATGCAATACCCATGCTGTCTGATCAGCATCTTGATTTGCCACACCTGTGAGGTGGATGGATTATCTCTGCAAAGGAGAAGTACTCAGTAACACAGATTTTGACAGATGAACAGTGAACAAAATTTGAGAGAAATAGGCCTTTTGTGTACATAAAGTTCAGCTCATGATGATTGGAGGCAAAAACAAGTGTTGCGTTTATAATTTTCATTATAAAATTTTAATATTAAGTGAGACTGTCACCTACTGCTGGTGATCACTCACTGCCAAACAGTGCAGCATAAGATATTTGATATATTGTTTGTGTAGCACAGTTCTTTAATGCAGTCTCAACTTTGGCTAACTGTCCTAATGGCTGACGTTATTTTGTCAGCATCACGTTGGCTAATCCCACACTGCTGTAAAAATTAGGCCTACTTGTACTTGAGTATGAGTTGTGTACTCCGTGCCACCTCTTATCACCAGGGAGTCATTAAATGAGAGGGAATGAGTACACTGATCCACTTGCACTGGTGCACTTATCCAAGGCACTTCCTACTTAGCTTTATAGTGGTTTGGGGAAATATTACAGTATATTTAAGAGAACTGCAAGGACGGTTTATTGGTGAGGAGTGTCCGACCGATTGTTGTGGGCTGCCTGGACCAAAAATGCCAGAGCTGATTTTTTGCCCCAGTCCAGCCCTGCATATAATTAGATTGTGGAAAATTCATTGTTTGGTCATTGTTTGGTCTTTTCATGGCATTTGATTACAATGAGAAAAATGTATAGCCTTATACCTTATACTTGATTGCCCCTCATGCCATAAAACAATAAAACTCCTTAAGAGGCCCAGGCCATATAAGTAAACCACTCCTCTCATCAGTAAAACATGTTTTCAATAATACTACTTTAAAAATTGCACTGGACATGACAGGTTGAGGCTGTTTTGAGTTATTGTTACGTCATCTGCTGTGTCCTCACTCGCTACGGATTTGCTGCAGTGATAGGATTAACCTCCCTTATGTCACTTAGCAAAAAGCAAAAAGTGATGCTCCAATGATGGGTTGTCATTCCTTACTTTTTCAATTTTCTCATCCAACATCCGGAAGAATTCTTGCTGACTCTCTGAGGAGTGGATGCTCCTGCGATGACAAAAAGCCCAACAGGTTACAGCCTTGCAGTATAACTTGGGACGTGAGTTCAGGTGATGACTGGACGAAAATTGACCAAAGGTGCTACTAATACGCAACATGTAAAAAGATGTTAATGATATTGTAATAACACCATCATTCAGTGTCACTTACAGAATCTTTCCATTTCCGTTTGACCCTGTTTCATCTATGTGTTGACCTTTACCAAGGAGAGCACTTTTCTCCTGCAGGACATCAAAGCAAACATGTACACACAATCAACCATATGATCAAAAAGTTGTCTTATGTCACGTTATTCAGCAGAAAGTGAAAATACAGCATGAGGTAAAAACACACAATTAACTAAGTTCTGAAGTTGCCTTATATATCATTCTATAATTATATTTCAGACAGAGCTGTTTATATTAAATAATTCAACTATGAGTAAAATCTAATACTGCAAAAATATTTATCTTTGGATTTATTATTCTTATTTATTTATTCTATATATTATTAACTATTAATGTTTGCACGGTGCTCTAGTATCGGATTAAATATGTCATGACTCATTTTGATTACAAATTGATAATTTTTACAAACCAATAAACAGGATCCACATTTAAACACATTATAGACATAAAGTAGAATACAAAGAATACAATAGGTTCACTCACAGTGCTGTCCTGGCCGTCCACTCCTCCCTCTTCTCCACTGATGTACTTTACTTTCTCCACTCCTTTCATCTTGTACTCATCTGTGACAAAGTGGGAGACAGAGAGGCAGAGAGGAGCACATCTCCCCTTATTAATACGTGACAGCAGAAGCGGGCAAACAGGACGACCCACTCACAGCCGCTCTGATCGGCACAATCCTGCGGGTTAATAGCCCTCACAGTTCAGTACTTGGCAAAATAATTATATGCTTGAAGTCTCATGCTCCAGACTAAATCCTCTCTTAACAATGCTTGGCAAGCCGCAAACACATAAGTTGTCAGCCTGATTCTCCTCTTTTCTCTGCCTCTCCATCTTTTCTCTCACAGATGCACAGCCCTCTCTCCGAACGCATTTAGAAAGGAGGAATTAAAAATACAGTTATGATGCATAGTAACCACGGCCTGATGGACACATCACATTGTTGTAACACATCAGATTAATGCTGTCAAGTTCTTATTATAGCTCTCAGATAGTTTCAGTTCATCTGTAGTAGCTTTAATAACAGTGCATTGCCCCTGGGGCACTTTCTTTTGATTCAGTGCTTTGCTCAAGGGCACGTAGGCAGAGGTGGGATGTGATACCAGCCATCTTTCAGTCCACAGCTCACAGCTGGTTGGTTACTTTACCATTTGGTTACTGGCTGGCGACTTTTACCTCTAGGCCATCTGAGGTGCTACCTGTCTTACACATGACGGATGTGTCTTGCACATGATGGTAGCACCATGCACAGGTGCAACTGTTCGACCGTTGGTGTGCACCTGTGATTAATGAAGCACTAATTAAGGTGTCTGTGAAGATAAGTTTTCCAAGGAGGGTTAAAATCAAGAGTAACTGGACATGGTTGAAGGCTTCTTCAGTTCTTCAGAACTTCTTGCATCAGAGGCAAAACATCTTTAAGTATCTTCAACCAAGTCCAGTTGCCCTTAATTTAACCTGTGAAATAACTAATTAAAGGTTTCTATTAGAATCTGACAGCTTGCCAGTTTACTAGTGTTTAAAAGTCCATCCCAGCACTTGTAATCACTGCTAACTATTTTTCAAATATATTTGTATTTACAGTGTATCATCATTAATGGTAGTATTATTATTATTTTATTGAAAGCACAAATTTAATAGCCCTTTAATAATGTGTGTATATATATGTGTGTGTGTGTGTATATATATACACACATAATATTTTTTTATTCCAGCAGTGACAGTTTTTTTTTGTGTGTTTTCATTACTTTAAGGGGGTGAGCAGTGGATAAGACACATGCCTTTGGTGTGAGAGACCAGGGTTCAACTCCACACTGTGACACACTTAAACCCATATAGACCCATATAAACCCACATAGATAGTAATTGTAAGTCGCTTTGGATAAAAGCGTCAGCTAAATGTAATGTAAATGTTATACAAAAGACATGTAGCATATATACTGTGTTATTTAATAAATGTATTTATACAGAAAGCTGAAATGATGTATAAGTTGAGTAGTGTACTAAATTAAAACAATTTTGGTAATCAATGGTTTGAGTCATATTTCAAGCAAAAATGCCAGTTACTGATTATCCACTGTGATAATTATTTACTTTTACATAACTGTAAACTGAATATCTTAGGTTTAGAATCTTAGATAAAACAAGAAATCTGAAGATGTCATCTTGGGCTGTGAGAAAATGTGACAGGCATTCTTCACAATTTTATTACATTTTATAGTCCAAACAATTACCAAAACGTCACCTTGGCTTTAATGGATAGTGAAATAAATTGTTCCTTGCAGCCCTAGACAAGATTCAACTCATAGCTCGAACTGTTTGGCCTCTCCTGCACATCTGCAGGGATTATGTGACAGCATCAGGACCAGAGAGCTTAACAAGTCTCTAAAAGCCAATTCCAGCACTAATCAATACTTCTAACAACTTTCAAAACTCTTGAAAATATGAAGGCATCATCTACACAGCGGGTGTTATTTTTTGAATACTCATATCAATGTAGATGTGACCTCATCTTTGTCTGTCACAAAGGACCTTCCCTCAGCAGTGAATGACATTGATGAATGGCGGCAAATACCTCATATTGATCAATTAAGGTATTGAAACAGCACTTGAACATAGCATAACATCGGTGTGTGCAGTAAACGGACTGACCAGAGAGAAGGTCCCCGTTGCTGTAGGCTTTACTCTGGCCCTCCTCGTCGTTGGGCACGGCAGACACCTGTTTGGCAGAGGTGCAGCCCATCTCCTCCTCAGCTGCTCTCCTCCTCACCCCTGAGCATTACAGGCACACCTGTGGGCAGGTATGAGACCGTGACAAAGTGTGGTTAGATATGTAGATCCGGAGTTCACAAACGTTATTTTGTGAGCAAAGAGATCCCCTATGCAGAAGAGCCTTAAATCACAGACAGTCCTCTTGCTGAATGTTTTGTCTCTGGGGAAATCATCTGAGTAGCGTCTGTGCTAATAGACATCCAGGGGAGAGTGTGGCCTTTGTGATTATCATAACCAAAAGAGCTCAAGTGCTTAGGAAGTGAACTAGTCTTCATTTCATGGGGGGGGGGGATCGGTCGTTTATCATAATCAATTAGTCATGAAGCGCCGCACCCCAGAATTAAAATACTGTGCGTGAAAATACAGTACAATAGACGGTTCCGCCGGGTTTGAGTAACGCACACGCCGGTCTGGAAAATACCCATCAGAACGTGCGCACGGCGGTGCCAGCTGCAACGCAACAATAAGGCCTTTCAAACTGATGCCACTGGGCCAAGCCTCCGGGTCATTTCTATTAGTGAATGGGGGTTTTCTGTGGCGCTCAGGGGATTAAACCGGCTGCGCAAAAGTGTTCCTGGACCCGCAGCAATGTGGCGAACATGTTTGACCAAATTACTTTGCAGTGGTTTGCATTAGGCTATCGAAACTGCATACGAATTGATCACCATATGGTATGGCCCAGCTGAGTCCAGCTGCAGGGTCCATTCCACTATCCTCCCGACTATTAGCTTTCATTCCTACATGTAGGAAGCTGCAGCTCATAAACGGTGCATCACTGGGCTGTCTCCGACTATTTTAGTCAAACAAATAAGAAACAAGCGGTGTGAGAATAATATTTATTCATTCATATTTATTTAGAGCTGCAAAATATCAACCATCGTCTCATTTCACAACACCGGGGAAAGGGTTTCTCAAACAAGTAATAACAAAAGATGTGACAGCAGCCATTCCTCAGCCAGCAGGAAACGCCGACACGACATCGCATACACGGAACCAAATAAACAAACAATAGATTACACAATAAATTTCCAACAAAATGCAGGGCAAATTTACCTTTCTGGTTTATCCATGTTTAAGGGCTCCTTCCTCTGGTCGTAGTTCAGAGAGGCTTCACTTCAGACGGAGATCCCAGACAGACCGCATCTGCACCTCCCGGCTCAATACAGGCATCAGCAGTCGAGATGCAGTCAGTCCGTCTGCCAGCTGTCTAGTCGGACTGCTTGAGCTCATGGCCTGATACTCTGTTAAAGTGATCAAACAGCGCCTACTGGTTAGAAAATAAAGCAGCAAGCCAAACAACGGCTAATGGGAATTTTGAAAATAGATTTTTACTATTACATTCACCGAAAAACACAAACAATCCACTTCATTTTCCATGGGAACACGCTTCCTACCTCTGTATGCGGTGGAAATTTGACTACGAAGTTGCATTTCATCATCAGTTGCCACTCGGGCCTAATTCACCAGCGCACAATGAATTTCCGTCCAGCTCATTCCTTCTGCATCATCAAAGTTGACAGCAAAAACATACAAAGTTTCTGAAGTTCTCTGTCTATGACAAAACCGACGGGTGACGCCGCCGATTATTGACCTCCACCAATATGGTTTCACTAACAATGATCGCTCGGGTATCGGACGGACTGCCGCTCGCTGCGTCAATACAGGAGGATGAACAGGTATGAATGAAAGTTAGCTTCCCCCCGTAGCCTCTCTACGAAGAGAACTACACGCCAAACTCCATTCAAAAATGGTGATGTTTAATGACTGCTAGCGTACCCGCGAAGGTGACGAGTAGACCTCCCAAAAACAAGAATAAAGACTGATTTTAAAATGCGGTATATTACGAGATAGTCAATAAAGAAGTAGTTTATTTGAATTAAACTACAACTTAATTATTAAATGTAAAGGTAAGTAAACAGTAACGTACGTAACTTACCATCACCGTGTGTGAATTATTTTACTGAAAATAATTGTGGGAATAAACGAAGGACATGTGATTAAAAGTTAGAGAGTATTAAAAAATGTTTATTGTACAATTTGAATGCCGAAAAATATTTGTAAAAGGTTTCAGGCTTTACAGTCAGAATCAGAAAGAGCTTCATGGCCAAAAAGTATTTACACGTAGGAGGAATTCGCTATGGTGCTAGAAATAAACACACAATTGACATAAATAGATTTAAATATATGTAAATATGGAATAAACAGATGCAAGTTGTAAAAGAATTATAGAACTATGTGTAAGAGAAAAACAAAACAAAGTGGCAGTAATTTACATACATGTGCATTACTCTGGATTTGTGCAAACATATTACTGGGGGATAGGATTTATATAAATATAAATTTGACAAAATATAAAATAAGGAATATGTGCTACTTGTGATATTTAATATGAATGTTGATAAGACTTTATTTATACAACTTTATGTGTGGCAGCTCTGACTACAACCTGTATTTAATTGTCTTTGTCAGTCAGGAAGAAACCTCCAGCATTACCAGAGCCAAGCCAAGCAGCTGTGCCGTAAACTGAATGCTCAGAGTCCAGACCGCTGTACCCTGGAGGCCGGGGACATGAACTTTCAGTAAGTTGCCACAAGCACCAAGTACTGTTGTTTATTTAGTGTATTGTCAAAGGGAAAAATCCAACCTACACACGTTACTTTGGATATTGTACAGTTATGTTTGGTGAGGTTTAGTTTGATACACATATTACCAGGAATCAAAGTTGTTATAAATAACTACTGATTTGGACTGAACCTGTGTTTCTTGGTTTCAGCTATTTAATAGCTAAGGATGTATGCTACCTGTTCCTCTGTGAGGCTTCATTTCCCAGAAAGGTTGTGTTTGCATACCTTGAAGACCTCCACAGTGAGTTTCATGACCAGTACGGGAGAAGAGTGCCCACAGTAACGAGGCCATACTCTTTCATCGAGTTTGGTAAGACTGTGATCTGGCCCCTTCAAGAAACATTGTGTTTTTCACTTTCTGCACAAAGGAGAAATCTCTTTGACTAAGCTTATATCTCATATACTTTGTTCCAGACACATACATTCAGAAAACAAAGAAGTCATACATTGACAGCAGGTTCAGGAGGAACCTGGGCAGTATTAACACAGAGCTGCAGGATGTCCAGAGAATTATGGTGGCAAATATTGAGGAAGTTCTGCAAAGAGGAGAAGCTCTTTCTGGTAAGTACAGTAATGATATATCAGTCCTGGCCAGTGTACCTGCACAAAATACAAGGGACAAAACTCCAAGAACCCCTGATCATAAATTGCAGTCAATTACAATTTTTGCTGTTACTAGTGCTTTTGTGAAAAGTTTTGTCAGAGATGTTGATTTTACTTTACAGTAAATTTTATTGACAGTTTGTAGTGGTGTTTTTGGATTTCATTATGTTCTAAGGTGTCCCAGTTCATTGCTAATATTATCCTGTTCATCACATCTTGATTCTTATATTTCTCTCAGCTCTAGACACAAAAGCCACCAATCTATCCTCCCTGTCGAAGAAGTACCGCAGTGATGCCAAATATCTAAACACCCGCTCCACGTATGCAAAGGTGGCTGCTGTGGCCGTGTTCTTCATCACACTAATCATCTATGTGCGTTTCTGGTGGCTCTGATAGACTCTTAAACAAGGACTATGACATAAGGGAGAGGGTGTTCCTTTTTGCTAAGCGTTTAAACAGATACTGTTACATTTCTATTACATACCAGGATGCCTTAAAGTGGTCATATACAGTCTATCCCTACTGAAGGTAGAAATTCTGCTTTGCATTATACTGCTTGATATGTATTCAGCATAAACTGAGCCATAGGTCTGTGATGGGACTTAAATTTCTTCTCTCTGTATGGAAGCAAATGCTCCATGGTGAGTTCACGTAGCTCTGTTAACTGGAATATTAAGGGCGGGGTGTTGCTAAATTAACGTTTACACACTGGTATAGGGAGTTTCAGCATTAAGGAGAAACTATGTATGCAGAGGTTTTGTAAAAAGTCTTATTACTGTGATAAAATGTTTATTGTTCAGAAAGTTTACATTGTAACAAGTTCTTATTGAAAAGATTAAATATTTATCAAATTGTAGTTTCTATTTTACAGCTGTTTTTATGACAAGTAGAATACAAGTCTTTATGGTATCTACACACTTATAAACCAGCATGTCCGTGGTCTCATACACATTAACCCAGTGAAGCCAGATGATGTTTACACAAAGAACACATGAGGCAGAGCAAATAGTGTGGAGTCACACCTATGTAACTCTGGAAGCTGCTCTGAACAACAAGTGTGATGGTGGCCAGTGTCGGAGTGGCTCTGCTGGAAAACTGAGACTGTGCTCTAGTGCTTCTGGTGGCTGAGCAAGTTTAGAGTAAATAGTCAAATGGTGGTATTGACAGGCATGAATACAGACTCCGAGATCAACTGTCAATCGATCCGATTTTAGACATCAAAAGAGAGGTGCGCTCCTTCTGTCCATGCTCAGATGACACTTGTTTTCTTCCCACAATTGTAAGTTGATAGAAGATTCAGACTATTGACTCCTGGGTTGTAGAGTTATTCACACCACTGTTACAAGATCAGAGCTCGTGTCTCTTTCCTGTCCTTCAGTGTTCCAGATGGATGTTGGACAACAGACTTATGCCACCAGATCAAAGTCGTCCCTCTGAATGAGAAACACAGTGGTCATTTGCGTATCAGCATTATGATTTAGCCCAAAGACATAAACAACAGAACTTGGTCATTTGCTTTGAAACTAAACAATTACAGCATTTTCACTTCAACGCCTGTTGGGTAATATATGTGAGCAGGTCCCGAAAACTCACCTCATCGTTATAATTCATGACATGCTGCTTGATCTTGGAGGAGTCCACCCAGGTGACAAAATCTTCCATATTTCTGAAACAGTCACAGTAATAAGTGTCAATATTTGATTACTTGAGACACTTCTGCACATGCATCAAAACTGTTCATTTATTCTGTTTTTGCAAAATGGACAGCTTGTGTGAAAGGCCGTTTGCTGCAAAAGAAATCCAAAACAAATTAGATGAAACAAACTAGACACCAACCTTGTGACTAGAAATGCCGGGTCTGTGACGATGTCTGGGCCAACGCGTACGTCTGAGACGGAGTGAAGGACAATACTGCAAAACAATTTCTACCCTTGGGTGTGTAGACCAGGGTTTTTCAAAGTCTGAGACTGTGGGCCTCCCCTCAGACAAAGCTTGGGAAACGGCACCCCCCACCACATCTTTAGTTTCGCTCAGTTCCTGGATGCCAATGGGATCATGATTGTATTATTTGATCCCATAGACACTCAGCATTTGAGCCAAAATAGCCTAATATTGCTGTTTGACATATCTTCTGACTACACCAAATAGTTTTAAAAAAGATCTGTCCTAAGGCATTTATTGGTTTCTGACTGATGAGGGGAAAACAGTTCCCAAAAACTTCTTTATCTCTGAACTGTCACACATGTAGGCTATTATATGTGATCTCCTTTTGATAACTAATGCAATAAGTCATGTAATATTGTTTCACTTCCATTCACTGAGCCTCCCCTGAAACAGTTTGGAGCCCCCCTAGGGAGGCCCGCCTCACACTTTGAAAACCCCTGGTGTAGCCAAAACTAACAAATCTCTCAGGCAAGACATAAAACTTCACTCCCAAAAAATAATGCGTCCTAAAGAGAAAAAAAAGGAACATAAACTTTACACATGCAGCAATGAAAGATACGTCCTTGTTCAATGAAGGTGATGGCTGTTTTCAGGTTCTGAGCCATGCGAAGGTTCAGCATGATGCTGGGCAGGCGCCTCCTGCAGGAGTCACACAGGTGATTGGAAGCACAGAAAACAGACTTGTGATATGTGATCACCTCAAGGACTCTAGAGAGAATTGTCAGTGGGATGATTTACCTGCAGAATGAAGAAGCTGTGACTTTCTCCGTGAGCGACAGATTCTGTTTGGTGGGAAGGAGGCCGATACTGTACCTAAAGAAAACAGTAAAATAATCAGTGTGAGATCCTGATTTAAAAAAAACAAACAATAAAAAACAAAACACATAAACCAAGACTGTCCAAAATAACAAAGGAAAACAACTTAGTCTGTCTCTCTTTGGGTTACCAGGCATCACTGAGCCAAACATGACATTTATTCATTTAGCTGATGCTTTTATCCAAAGCGACTTACAATTGTTATCTATGTGAGAGGTCGCACGCCTCTAGAGCAACTAGGGGTTTAGGTGTCTTGCTCAGGGACACATTGGTGGATGAGTCACAGTGGGGAATTAAACCTGGGTTTCTCACACCAAAGGCATGTGTCTTATCCACTGGGTCATCACCACCCAAAACAATGATAACATTGATGATCCAGGATAACCGGCCTCACAAAGCTGGTTATCAACCAGCTCGGTTAACTCTGGGTTTAGTGATCCAGCTACGAGCGTGTGCATCTGAAAATTACAATCAATTACAAGTGACATCAGAACCATGAGCTGAGAAGTAAATAAGATATGACGAAATGGTGATACACCCGCAGGGAAATTTGGTCACAGAAACAGCAAAAAGTTAAATTCAGCTTGATGAAGTGTATATAATATGATCTAGAGCAGAATGAGAAGCTGTAGAAACACTGGAAACAATTTACAAATATTAAACATAAGATGAAATCTAGAAACATTTGCTTAGTTTTATTTAACCTTTTGTCCTTTGTCTTTAGAAATAGAGCGATTTGTTTTTACTTTTTGCCTGATGACGAACAAACAATTATGAATGTGTGAAATACATTGTGATGTATTAAAAAGTTATAATCTGTAACATTTCTGCATTAAAATGTCTAAAAAAAACTAGATCTATGTTAAATATTTTAGTTGACAACACAAGACAAAATATTACTTATTAGTCCAACAGAAATAATGCCCGCTGTGCGTCTGGCTCGCAGCCTTTTATTTCACAAAGCCCTCGCCAATGTCTGGGAGCCTCTCACTTGGTCACTCTCTTTTTCTCTTTTTAGCTTCCTCCATCAGTGTCCTCTTTGCCTCTGCCATTAGCTAATGTAATGTCCACAGAGGATGCTGAGCCCAGTTATGTTGCCTACTTGCCCGGTGCTGCTTTCTACCAGCAGCAGCATAACACTGGCTGAAACTTGGGTGACAAGCTATCCAACAAAGTTAGACAGCAACTGCTGATAGAGCACTTACAGTAACGTTACCAATGAATGTTCGATTGGGTTACAAAGTTATTACTGACAAGTCCAACAGCAGGAAGGCCAGCTCGGCATCTATTGTGCATCCTGTCAGCTCTTTTAGCTCACACCAATGAGTAAAAGCCAGTCCAATATTTAGTCTTGTGCGGTCTCTTGCTCGATCACTCTCTCTTTTTCTCTTCCACCATCGTCTGCTTCAGGCTCTTCGCAGCCTCTGCCATGATATCCAGACTGCGAAGTGAGCTAGCCTATTCTAAAGAACTTATATTGTATATTATATACTTCCTGTTTCTTCTTATAGCTAGCTTGCATAAAAGTCATGTTGGTGTGTGATGTGGTGCCGTAAAGTATTACGCCGTTGTGGTGATAGGTTTCCTACCTGAGATTCAAATGTTAACAGTGCAACAGCAGGCAGAGTGCACACCAGTAGGTAGGCAGATAGGCCAGCTTATTACAGTCCTGCGACAGGCACAGATACTGGATTTCCTTTTTAATTTTTGTGTCAGAGTATTTGATTTATTGATTGTTGTCAGGATGTAAAGTCAATTTCAACAAATATAACAAAACTATTCTGAAATGAACTGCCTACCCCAGCTTTAAGTGCAAAGAGAGCAGGAAAACCCACTAATCTCACTTAGTGGTACAGGCCCCAAGTATTTGAAAGTTATTAGACAGAAGATTTTGTCATGGCAAACAATATCACATTGAGGAACTCACAGTTTTTCCAGTAGCCGATGTGTGCTCTGAGCTCTGAAGCCATCCTTCTCATCCAGGTCTCTAATTTTCTGGGCCAGATCTCTAATGTTACGACTCAGCTTGTTGTACCTGAAACAAAGGAGAAAACCCCCCACTAATTTAATATCAAAATCTCTGTCTTTACTCTTCACTGGTCAGCTGATAAACCTTAAAGCAAGGAGAATAATTAATGTCACACTTTTCTATTCCGGCTTTCATACAATAATAAAAGGGGATAGTCGACTCAAATTATGTAATCACAACAAAGGTTTCAAAAGTTACAAAATTTAAAACAGTCTATATTTAGACTGATACATTAGACTTTATTTAATCTTGTTGGCAGTGAATGAAGACCCGCAACCCTGTACGCAGGATAAGCGGTTGATGATGGAGACTGAATAAACAGAGATTTTTTTTGTTTTCAGTTTCAACCTAAAAAGAAACGTTGAACGTGCATTTAACTGTAACCTGGCTAAACTATTCCTTCTAAAAGACTAATTTAAACCTTATGTTATACAGTCTATGGCTTAAACACAGCAGAAGGCTTACTTGGTGTAGTCCTCCCTCTTTTCGATGCGATACTTCCGCAGCACTTTGACCTCGTGCAGGTTGTTGTCCACCTCCCAGTTGATGAAGTCCACCTTCTTCAACAGCTTCTGTTCATGGTACTTTAATTTACGAACCATTTTCACACCTTTCGCTAGCTGAATCCCCTATATTTACAAGACACCCTGCTTCACATGTAGGATACGGTGGAAACACAGGAAACACGTGGTCTTTTTCTTCTACGGCGACAATTTAAGGTTGAACGTCACGTCAATGTGAACTACAGCGCCATCTACTGCGATATATCTCTACACATTTCCCCCACATATAATTTTTTAAAGTCATCTTTATTGCAAAAATAGGTTGCAATCTTTTTATATACAGTCTATGGTTACAATTCAGCAGTGACTTACAAAGACAGTATACAAACATATAAAACACAGATAAAATAAGATAAAGTTTTGCCAGGGGAAGCTTGTGGGTCATTACAAAGAGAAAGAGGACCATATGTTGACAGTTATAACCGCCTTTTTGTTGTTGGAGCCAGAAATCAAATCAATATAATGCACAACTTCATGGAGAAAAAGTAAAAAATTAAATTTTTTACTGCTGAATTTACATTTATGAATGTGGATTTTTGCCAACAGTATTAATAAATTTATAATTTCCCCTTCATATAAAACAAGCCTTATAGTCTTAGGTGTCATTTACCCAGGGACACTGGGGACATGTCCCCACCACTTTTTGAAATGCCTGATTTTGTCTCCATCACTTCTTGAAATTTTTTTTTTAAATCTTCTGAAAAATAGCTTGCAACAAGAAATGTTAATTAACAAATTAAAATGCTTTGAGAAAGGATATATAGGGTATAGAAGAAACAAATGTGCATTGTCCAAAAAAAGTAACTTAAAACTAAAAAATTATTACTGCATTATATTTCATTCACATGCCACCTGAATTTTGTGTTTCCCTGCATACAAATAAAGACATTTCCAGAATGCAGGAAATTAAGTGATTAATGCTCAAAATCTTCTGGAAGAGGAACCCCAGACATCCCTATCACAAATTTCAGCATTGAATGTTTCTTCAGAATTGTGTAAAAAGATCTTTTCGTCTTGTTCTCATGCCTCATCATGTCTTTTGAGCTAAGTGCATCGTCACACCCCTAATCGGAGCGCTGATGTCACCACTACCTTTCAACACAAGGTGACGCCCTTGCTCATTGTGTTTTAAAAAAATATTTTGCCCAAAACTTTATTGAAAACATTTGTCAAAACATTGGTGACACGAAAACCAAAACCGGAAATCAATTTCATCATTATGTAAAAAATGTTTACATTGATCAAATACAAAATGTATTTCCAACATCCAAGTATTAGAGCAGTCCTACAAAAAATACGGTGTAGATGTTTAATGGACTAGTCCAGTGGGCTAAATATATTATAACACAAATAAGCCATGTTTTTTGTAGTTTGAGGTGCCATGCTGTTGTAGCCTATAGCCTAGTTACACAATAAAAGGCTGAAAGTGGAGTCTGCCTATTTAAATTTATTTTTATTTAAATAAATTTAATTTATTTAAATTAAAAAACAACAATATCACATCAAATAGTGCCCAGCATAGCCTATACGTCCTGTAACCCTCTCACAGAGACCCTTTGGTACATGCTGAGGAGGTTAAACTTTGTGAATTTGTTTGATTTATTGTCTTCTTAAGTTAGCTTTTGCTGAAGTTTTTGTGCTCTCTGAGAGCTTTGCAGTTTGACCTGACAATATTTTGTCGGAAAAAGTGTAACATTATTTTCTCCAGCAGGTGTCAGCAAACATTTGGAGTAGCCTATGTGTTTCGCGCATGTCGGTTCATTCATCCTTGAGAAGGGAGAGGCCCCCCCACTGAAGGTGTAGCACACTTTTCAACTCACAGCCGTGAGAGAGTTTTCTGTGTCTTGGCTATAGTTTGGCTATACGTTACGGTCGGATTAACTTAGTGAGTGTTATAATAAGAGTACAGAGGAGTGAAAGGAGAAGTCCAGAGACACTGTCATTCTGTCAGGCACCTGAGATCCAGTCAGACAGGTAAGTTACACTGTAATGACAGTTTGATAAGAGGCTCTTTGAGAAAATGAAATTAGACGATTCATGCGCTTAACAGAAACAGAGGAGATAGGCTGGTCTGCAGAAACATCTGTTATAGGTGAGTTTGTTAAATGTGTGTGTACTGCAGCTATGCCTCCCCTTCAGGGAAAGTTTGATCAGCTAGTAGCTACTTTATTATTAGTGCTAGAAAGAATGTAAGAACCACTAGAGGAGTGACTAATGGTGGGAAAAAACTGATGCTTTTATTAATTCAGTCATTCATTCACTTCCTTCTAACTCTGGTTTGCCCTCTGACGGATGCATATCCTGATGATATTGTGATCTTTAATATTTGTTCAAGTCAACTCCCATTAAAACAAAGGAATAAAGGTGGTGAAATCAGCTCAGTCAATTCTGCCCTTACTACACAGACCCACGTCACCAGAAGCACCAGCTAAGATGGTGTTGGGTTACCTACTTGCTGAATTCTCAGAATGACGCCTTGTCCCAAATGTATCAAAGGTAGAGCAGACCGTGATGGATGCCCCACCCTGCACCAGGACCACAGACACTGCTTTCTTTGATATAAGGTGTCCGCCACATATCTGTTTTCTATGGGATCTAATTTGGAAAAATAAAATAATGAGGGTAGTGCTACTTAATCTGCACCTTGATCTGGGTTTTGTCACAAGCCTGAGTGACTGTCACGTGATCAAGTGGTTTGTGAAGATACAATAAAACCAGTTTTGCTTTTAATAGCTAATATATAAACCCATCCCTGTCACACTCTTTGTTTGGGATGGGAAACACCTATAACAGATTTTAGTGAATGGCTTCTTGCATATGGAGCAACAGTTCTATCAGGTTTGAAGAAGAAGTAGTTGAGCCCGATGAAAACATGATGTATTTCCCTGATATGGTGAACAGTAGTAGATTAGTCTGGACACTGCCAAAGCTTCAAGACTATCATAAGTGTGATGAAGTAGATATATCGTTTCATGTCTCTGTTTCAGGAATTTGCTCTTTGCATTCATGGGAATTTTTAACTCCTTGTTTCAGTCAAGTGTTTGATCCTCATCTCAGCTGAAGGGAGTGGGTTGTGTCATACTGAGACACTTGGTGGAGACGTTTGCAGGTACTCAGTCCTCCAGTCTGCTGCACCGGTTAGTGGAGGCGGTTTGTGCATCTCTGTCAGGGCCTCAGAGAGAGTTTGGTGAGAACCAAATGGGACAGTGAACATGAGTGGAAGAAAGCTCAGCGTAACATCTGTGCTAAAGTGCCACACTTTTCATCCATGACAGGTTTAAGGGTGCTGAGATGGACTGGATTTTTATGTTTCGGTTTCTTCTCTGAAAGCATGCTGGTGGATTGTGTGTGGAGTTTCAAGTATCTAAAGGTGTCTGACACAGAGACAAACAATTTAGGTCTCATGTTAACAGGACTTGTCAATCATTTGGATGAATGGACAAAATGTTTCAAAAGAGTGCAAAGAAAAGAAAGCTCCATGTGTGGAGAAACATGTTGTCCTTACTGTTAAGGGATAACAGTGATTGAAGTTAGTGTTGACAGGGTTAGGGTTAGATTGCTAACTTTTCGCAGTGAGTGGTGTATTATTACTGTGTTCTGTCAAGACAACATGTTGGCACATGTCTGAAATACTCTGTGGCAACAGTGTAAGAAGTACTTAGATCCTATAATTAAATAAAAGTAGCAATACCTCAACATAAAAGCACTTTATTAGAAGTAAAAGTACTGCATTCCAAATTAAATATTTAGAAGTATCAGCACTTTTCAAAAGTACTCATTATGCAGACTGGTATTATATTGTTAAATTACTGATTTGATCATTATTATTGATTATAAAAACAGATGTAGTACTTTAATTGTTCAGAATCTGAACCCAAAAGCAGACCAGAGACAGAGCAGGTAAAGATAAGCTTATTTATTGGTTTGAATCCAGAGTCCTATGTGAGCTGGCGGGATTTGACTGGCAGGAGAGTGAAAGCTTGCCAATCTGGTAGACAGAGCGTGAAATCTGATAGTGACTTCCTGAAGATGGAAAATCCAGTTAGTTCAGCAGGCAGACAAAAAGACAGATTATCTGAACAAACACCGTTTCTGATACCGAGCAGACAAGTTGGCAGGTGTCTTATCATAGGTCTGTCCTTAAGAAGGGACGGCTGATTGGCGTGATGATGAACAGGTGCGTGAGTGGTGAGTGAGTGGTGACTGAAGACAGACATTCAAAAACTTGACAGTAATATTCTAGTTAATTTTAACTGCTTTATATACTGTTGGGTATTTTATTATATAGCAGTGCATAAAGTCTTAATATCTAAAGTAATTACAGCTGTCAAATATGTAAAACTGTAGTCGGGAGTATCAGAAAACTTTACTTTGGTAATTTAAATAAATTACTTACTTTCCACCACTGCGCCATGTTGTCTTATTGAAGAGCTTGCTTGTGCTAATATAACCTGCTTTATTGATATTATCTTCCAGTTATAAGCTTAGAATGTGTTTTTAATTAATTAATTTTATTTCACTGCACATTGTCTCTTGCTTTAAATATACTTTGTACTACAATAAACAGTTTACTATACCTAACTTAGCTGTCCAGAAATCCACAAGCATCTTAGCTCATAAAATATAGGCTTTGAAAGCTTGACTCTTTTCCATCCAACTGCAAGTAAATATAGGTGTCTCTCAAATTAAGCCTGAGAGAGAGACTAAGAGTGAGAGGAGAGTTTGTTGGGCATGTAGAAAAACGCACACACCCATACAAACAGAGAGGGATTGTGCAGCCATGCCCCTCTGCTAAGCACAGCTGCTGCATAAGGAGGTCAGTGTGTTGAACACGCCACACCTCTTGTTCTGTCAACGTTGCTTTGGCCTTCGTGGCTTGTTGCACATCCTCTTTTTACGGAAAGCTGACCATAGTATGAATGAGTAGCTACAGAACCCAGAAGCAGAACTCATGACATGAGCATGACGCATAATTGATAAATGATATGACCATTTTATGACGTGACTCAGTGGATTTTGTCTCTATACTTTAGTAAAAAAAGACATTCTCTGTGAATATTCTGCCTTCTGTGCACAAGGATTTTTAATTTAAATTTTGGGGACATTTGGATGAAGGGATGGTGACAAGCGA